GCCGTGCGGCCCCAGACCCCGCCGATCTCAAACCACGAGCCCGCGTCCACCACACTCCGGATAATCGTGTAGGGGTTGTACATCCTCGCCGCACGGCGGGGGATGACGCTCCGCAGCGCGACATCCTCTCTGTCCTCTGGATCCGAGCACGTCACGACGGGAGGCGCCTCGCCGCCGTGGTTAGGCAGGAACCCGAGCACCGTCCGCAACTGCTCGAAGCACTCCGCCTCGTTGGCGGCAAGGTTGTCGATCGTCCCGTTGGTGCAGTGCACCGTGGGCCCGCCGAGATCCTGAAAGTCCAGCCCTTCCTCGAAGGTGGCGTTGGCGACGACCTCCGGGCCGGCGTTGAACAGCGCGCCGATATCCGCCGCCATGACGGAGAAATGGCACGAGACGACGCGTGCAGCGCCGAGGCCGATCTATCACCATTTAGTTCAGGCCTAACGTAAAGAAAGGGGGAAGGGAGGGGTACAGCGGGTCCAACGACAGCCCCCAGGTTCGGAATCCCCTTGTTCAGCTGCTCGACGACCTGCGCGTACATGCGCACGTAGGGGAGGTAGCTCCACCCTTCCTTGCGGATGGTGGTCACGCTGCCGCCGCCGGAGCTGCCATCGACCAGCTTGATGACGGGCAGTTTGAGCGCGATGGCCAGCTTCTCCGCGTAGATTGTCTTGTCGGCCGTCGAGCCGTCTGCGTGTCCGCTGCGGATGCTAAAGTCGTCGGCTGTGAGCAGGACGCGCCGGCCCTTGAGCTGCCCGAAGCCCTGGACATTGTTGCTCGGCGTGAACGACTCGGGGACCTCGGTGGTGGGACCCGTGGGTTTCCAGGTGACGGTGCCGGAGACGGAGCCGATCTCTTCGAAGGAGTTGGGGTCGAGGAGCTGGGCGATGCGCTCGCGGACCCAGAGCTTGCCGGCTTGTTTCTGGCGCGTGTAGCCGCGGTGAGAAGGGTTGGGGGTTGCGGCGATTTCTTTGAGGGTGGTGATGGTGGAGAGGACGTCGGAGTAGTCTGGTGGCAGGTTGGCGGTTGATAGGTGAGAGGAGAGTTGATTGAGACGTTTGGAGGCTGTGTCCTTCATCTTGCTGTAGATGTCTCTTCAATGTTTCAATGCATTGATACTGTTGCAAGATGCTAAATGTATATAAGAGTTGCGGGGAACCGAGAACCGAGGTTCCCCGCATCATCTCTGTATCTATATCTGGACTTAGATCCACACGACACCACAATTGAATCACCTTTTCCTAACGATGAAGAACCTCCTGATAGCCAACAGAGGTGAGGTTGTCGTGCGCATCTTGCAAGCTGCCCGCGAGCTTTCACCCCCCATCCACATCGTCGCCCTGTCCACTCCCAACGACACATCCCACTGTCTCCTCGGCCACCCAGACGAGACCATCTCCCTCCCCTCTGCAGCCTCCTACCTCGACATATCCCTGCTCGCGCAAATCTGCCAGGAACATGCCATCGACACCGTCCACCCAGGCTACGGCTTCCTCAGCGAATCCGCCGAGTTCGCCCGCCGCATGCACGAAATCGGGGTGACCGTCATCGGGCCGGGGGCCGCGATCCTCGAGCGAACGGGCGATAAACTCCAAGCCAAAGCGCTTGCTGCGTCGTGCGGAGTACCCGTTCTCCCGTCCCATTCCGCCCAGTCTCTCGATGAGATCCGTGCGTTCGTCGAGAAAATCGGATACCCCGTCATGATCAAAGCAGTCGACGGGGGCGGCGGACGGGGGATCCGGCTGATCCACCAGCACCAAGCATCTGATCTGGCGAACCTGGTGGCAAGGGCCCGGAGCGAGTCCCCCTCGCAGACCATATTCGTCGAAAAGGCCGCCGTGGACGGCTTCCACCACGTCGAGGTGCAAGTCCTCGGCGACGGGACAGGGACCGTCCACCACCTGCACGAGCGAGACTGCAGTCTCCAGCGGCGGTTCCAGAAGATCGTCGAGTGCGCCCCGTCGCTTCTGGATCGGTCCATTATAGATAAAGTCATCGACGCGGCGCTGCGCATCGCGGGTAGCATCCGGTACCGATCGCTCGGGACGTTCGAGTTCCTCGTCAGCGAGACCACGCCCGAGTTCTACTTCCTCGAGATCAATCCCCGGCTGCAGGTGGAGCATACCATCACCGAGGCCGTGACGGGGGTGGATCTCGTGCAGGTGCAGCTGCGGTTGGCGCGGGGCGAATCTCTCCAGGAGATTCTGACGGTGCCGGTGCCGGTGCCGAGACCCTCAGCACGATCCATCCAGCTCCGTCTCTGCGCCGAAGACCCCAGCGCCAACTTCGCGCTGAGCATCGGCAAAGTCGCCGACTTCTTCGTGCCCCCCGGCCACGGCGTCCGCGTCGACACGCACCTCGCCCCGGCAGTAACCGTCGGCTCGGACTTTGACAACCTCCTCGCGAAAATCATCGTCACGGCCTCGAGCTGGGCGTCCGCCGTGCGGAAGGCGCGGCGCGTGCTCACCGAGACCCGCGTCGAAGGCGTCAGGACGAACCTCCCCCTCCTCCGGGGGATCGTCTCAACCGAGGACTTCCTAGCGGGGAGGATCGACACGCAGTGGCTGGAGAGGAATCTCCCCTCCGTGCTGGGAGCAGGCGAGCGCATCTCTGCGTCCCTTGTCTCGTCTCACCCACCAGCCAGACCGGCGTTCCAGGTACCGACATCCTCGCTCCTCTTCCGCCGCGGCGACGCATGGAGCATCACCCTCTCCCCGCTCCCCCCAACCCCCAAAGCCGAGGGCGAGTGCGGAATCCGGCACCACCTCCGGCTATCCCGCGTGCTCCGCAATGCCTTCCCCTCCTCCCTAACGGCTGAGATAGAGTACACCACGCCCGAGGCCTCCGTCCCGTACAAACTGCATCTCGCGGCAACCGGGGCCGGCGCAGCGGCAGGCGCCCTGGTCTCGGGCCATCGACGCGGCGACCCGTCTAACCCGCGGCATATCGTGCTGCCGCTATCCGGGAAGTTGATCGAGGTGCTGGTTCGGCCTGGCGAGGCCATCGCCAAGGACCAGGTTGTTGCGTTTGTCAAGCAGATGAAGATGGAGCTGGAGGTGCGGAGTCCGCGTGCGGGCTGCGCCAAGTGGGTGTATGAGGTGCAGGATGGGGAGGAGGATGTAGCCGAGGGGATGTTACTTGTTGAACTTGATTCTCTCCTAGTACCTGGTCCTGCGGCTGTTGCTGAGAGAGGGAAACTTTGATGGTAGTCTACTGTACATAGATATGGAAATAGAGGTCAAGCCCTGAGCCCGGTTCCTGCGCTCCGGTAGTATCCTCAAGACAATTTGATGCTGGGGTCAGAGCCACTCTGGAAGAGAGGATATTGCCAACGAAGCTAGTAACTCGTCTGTCATAGCTTGAACGATGAAGCTTTAGTCGGAGCTCGCCGACTCGCGGTCCACTACCTTGCCTTTGGGATATTTGAAGCTCGTTATGGCTCTCATTTGGCTGCTCCTACACCTGCCCCAATTCCCTACACGAACTCGGTATATCCGAGCTTGGCCCTCATGGGGACACCGACCCGACGGTCGTTGGGACTGTCGATACTCGAATGAATTTGTGGGGTATCTGCAGGTAAATACGCCTGATTCCGGGTGACGGATTGATATCTGATCGCTGAGGAGATTGCCAGGCGAGGAACCATTCCAGACTCATGCATGACTCAAGCGCATTATGAAATGCCAATGGTGTCAGTCTTGCTGGTTTCGATGGTATGCTTCAAAAAATGCGGTCTGTACTTGGCTTCACCCACTGAGGTCTCCGGCATTTGTGAGCATCCCGCCACTGCTTGATTTTCTCCAGGTCCCACCCGGCTGATAGCCTTGACGTGTCCTCTGTGGCTGGTTTGTGCGCGCCTAGTCGAATGGATGGGACAAAAATACAGTGACCGGAATGGTCGTAGGTATATGAGAAACACTCGGGATGCTCATGGCACGCTTTCGTACAGGCTTCAAGAGAGCTATGGGCGGGCGAGTGGGACGGCTCTTGCCATCCGCCCCAGTCACCATTGTCCCAGTCCGTTTTATATTCAACGGTGCCCAACTTGGTGTACTCGAACAGGTCGGCATATAGCAATGGAAGCTGTAGGCTGTCAACGTTTGGAGTTATTAGAGGAGGCTAGGAAGAAAGACATACCTTTCGGCCACGGCGACGTTGTTTCTCCCACCTGACCAGCTCAGTCATATCTTCTAGCGATAATTTATGCATGCTGATCACCGGCTGACACCAATGCCGTTCATCAAACGGAATCCCATGCAGAGGATGCGGATTGAACATCGGCCACATCCCGGACAGCTTCACTCCACTTTGATAGAGTGCCCATCCAAGTACCGAATCGCCGCAACAATCCTCTTTGACCAAACCCTCATACTGCTGATTCAACGGAGGTTGACTGTACACGCTACCGCGTCCGACCCTGCGAGCCACCAGTTTCTGGACCGCGGCCGTTGACAGCACGAACCCAGCACCCCCATAAGCGAAGAAAGAGCGGCCCTTTCCAGCAGTCGGGGAGCCAAAGTATAGAGGAAGCGACGGGTCGAACTGGTCAAGGAGACGGAACAAATTGTCCCACACAAAGTACGTATCGGACTCAAGAAAAACAAACCACTTGGCAGTCGGATTCATTTCATAGGCGCGCTCGACCATGGGCAGGAACTTGAATCGGTCGAGTTTCCAGCCCTGAGAAGCCCCCACCGTCTCGGATTCTCCGCGCTGGAGCGCGCTATACGCCTGAAAGTCAGAGGTATTCCCCCAGAAGGAGTCCGGGAGAGTAGCGAGAATATCGTGGACGCGATGGCCTTTGATTTCAGACTCGTGGTCGGAGAAGACAATAAGGTTAGTTATGCAGCGGGTAACCGTCGTGAGGTGGGTGTCAACCCGACTGGGAGGTTCTGTACTGCCGATTTTTAGGACGACTTGGACGCGCGGGAGGAGGTACAAGGGAAAAGAGTCGCAAAGGTTATCGCCATCACTATTGCCTCGGAGTTCGTTGGCGTGGGGCGAGTTCGAGAAGCGGGATGTTGTTTCCCACTCCCAGTAATCGGTGTGGAAGAGGCCGAATCCTAGCTTTAGACCAAGGCAAAATATACATCCTGTCAGGATGAACACTAAAGCACGGTTCCGTCTCTTCTTGGGCCGTGATTTCCAGTACCCAGAGATGCCTCCCCCAAAGGAGCATAACAGACGAAGAGCCGCAGTTTGGACGCGGGTTACGTTATTGAGGTACATGGGAAAGCATGTAGAAGTCGGGCGAATTCGAGAGACAGATGGATAAGGTCCGGGACATGTCAGATATAGCGATAGCTGTCACGGACCTTCCCTTGCATAGTACACTCGCTGAATGACCTATTGGTCATCGACATGTGCCCTTATGTGGTTGTTGCCTGGCCTCTAGAGACTAGACTGTATGAGAATGAGAATCGTGAGAGCACTAAAATGCAGTGCCAAGAGTCTAAGAATCTGTGTGTTTCAGTTCCGCACAAATTAGAATCTATTAAGAGAGATGTTGGCCTGTTCTGACACCGAAATGGGCAGCAATATGGAGTACCCGACGGAGTGATGCCCGGGCCATTCATCTTACGTCTTGTTTAAGATCTCGAGTTACATTGGTGGGTAAGCAAGGCTTAGTTTGACTAAGCCATAACACACAGCTTACCCATGGTTTAGATTCCACGATCCAGGATCCAGGGAACGTCTTTTGACTATCTCCAAGTTCTGCGATGTACTTGCAGTGGATTTACCATCCTGTGTTTATTTCACATTAAGAGCTGCTTAAATCTATAACCAGCTAGAAGTTGAGCAGTGTTGAAAAACATATCAATAATATTTATGACTCTTACCTTTGAGATAATGGGAAAGCACAATCACTGTAATGAGCCTCGGGTAGATGGATAGTATCTAAGTTTTCTGGCGGCGCAGTCATATTGCATACCTTGTCTACGCCTATCAGATCACTGTTTAACATGTGCCAGTGCTGTAGACAGTAGACTAGACAGGGTTTCCATCCAGCTAAGTTGGTTAGATCGACCGGTCCGGCTCCGCAGTAGATCTAATGTGGATAGTACTTGGATCCGCTCAGTATGAATTGGCTGAGTTTCACATTTCTTCCACTCTAGTCCCTACTCAGTATGGAGTACTAATTACTATTGCTCCGTTGTCCGTGTTTCCAGAAATCAACATAACTATGATCAAATTGTTCCGCTAGCCTGCTACTTTGGCTGGTATTTACCCTACTGAATTAGATGACTTTGCGAAGGAAATCAAGCCCTTTGGACTGTTGGCAGGGACTGACTTTCCTATTTTGCAAGAGATGCGAGCCATCACCTTTTCTTAATGATTTCTGAGCCCATACTCTTATCTTTTAGCTAATAACACACAAGAATATTATTACAGTCTCACGGACTCAAAGTTCAGCATGGAGTCTCCAATCTCCATGAATGATGTAACCTAAGAGCTAACTTTAGGGTTACATCATGCAGCCTGAATGTATATACATTACAGCTGTGAGAATTAATATAATTAATCCTAAACCAAGTAGGTTTTGCTATGTTCCCTGTTCTTAAGTGTTCAAGAGAACTAACAGAAGAATATATGGAGGATTTACCATGCAAGGTAGCGGGTGAGCCCTATAGTTATGGCATATGGCAGGAAGTAAAAAGTGGGCTTAAAATTTTAATAGAAGCCTTCAGAAGGAGACAGTACGCCATTACAGAGGAAAACCTTCTGTACTAAACAGACACTCTTGTAGTTCATCTGCTAAGTGAGAACTATTATTACACCTAGTCTGACTGGCTAGGTTTAACAACTACTGACAATTAGTCTGGCCAAGGCTCCAGCAGTAATTTTTCCAATGTTATTAGAGCTGCGGCTAATTTTGCATGGGGGCGTTAGACTAGATCTTGTCTTAGCCATGTGCAGGGCTTGTGGGTGACTGCACTTTTGTAGCTATGGCGTCCAGTAGGAGAGTATTAAACAATCAATCCATTGCTTATAGATGACTTGCTATAGCCTGTTCACAGGTAAGGAGAAATAACTACTATAATTTATGCCAACGGATACTTACCAAGGGGTACAGTGGCGATGGAAGTGAGCTGGCCTGCCCAATTCCCCAGGAAGACCGCCACTGTTCGGTGGATAAACATATGCAAAGTATGTAGCTCTAGTGAGGTGATTTCATGAAGACCGTTGCTACATACGCATGACCCACAAAACATCCTCAGTATCCCCCAGCATTTCCCGCCTGTCGTCACAGATCCTCGCGTATTCAAGCAACAATCGATACACGTAGATCTGCATATCTTCCGGGCGAAGCACCTTCTCCGCCCACAGCTTGCCGCTCAGGGCGATCCTTCGGGCGACGTGGTCATGGCCGGCCCCGGCGTATCCAATGAAGTACTCCATGATGCCGTAGATATCCAGAAAGGTCGAGTCCATGGGGACGAAATGGGCCCAAGGGACGAGCCGGGAGTCATGCCATTCGTTGTAAATGGTGGCTTTGATTGGAAGAGAGGTTGACAGTAGATGTCCGTCATACCGTCCGCTGACGGAATTGCCGTCTACGTCAGGCAGATACTTGTAATCATACTGCTTGCCCGACATTTTGGGAACGAGGCTAAAGTAAGGTTCCGTGTAGGAGCAATGCGGGTCCGTCAAATCGTGATTACAGGGCTGTCCTGGCGCACAGGGGTCGCACACTAGATGGATGAAGCCGACATCGACATGTTCCTCCACAAACTCGGGTAGGCGGCCATCACGACCAGAGGCCAAATGGTAGTAGTCGTAGCTGGGAAGAATAAAATTGACAAAATGAGAATTGTTCTGTTCGGCAGCGGTGACAGACGTGCCATTCAACATGGCTAGGAGGCGATGGCGGTGGAATCCCGTCCAGTTGTTGACTCGGTTTCGACCCCCCGACGCGATCCCGCGCCAGATCAAGGAGTCTTTCTTTGACTCCCATTCACCACTGTGATCGCTGCCGCCAGAGTATTGCTTGCCCTTGGCCCAATATGTAGCGGGAGGTATGAGGATCTCATTATTGACTGAAAGCTTGGATCCTCCAAAGAGAGGAAATAATTCGTGCGTGGTTGAAATGGATATAGGCTCAATAAAGGTTCCATGAAGAGCCTGCATCTCAGGGCGCCAACAAATATCCTTGGACTGGGTCCAGTTGTGTACATAGCCATTCTGTGAGTGTTGCAGAAAGTTGTCCATTGCCACAGGCAAGACGAAATCTGGATTGATGGAGTGACTTTTGCGCGACGGACTGTCTGGCGGGCAGCCGACACGAGCCATATCCCAGAATTGGCCATCATTCGTGCCCAGGAAGCGAGGTTCGAATTGCTCAAACTTGTCTTCATCCGTAATAGCCGTATATTCCGTGATAAACTCTGCAGGACTTTTATCCCTCCTCTCCTGCCGGCTCGCACGTTCCTTTTTGATGTATTCAGCCATGGTTTCCGAAGGCACCACGATTCGAGATTCATCCATAAGGTTGAACGGCAAGTCGAGGTCAGGAAGATACCGCTCGATACTCTGTACAAGACTGAGCCATGAGTCTAACCCCAGTGCTTCCGTCTCCGTGACAGCGGTCGCTTTATGATTGCGAACAGCGATGCGGGGTGTGAGACTTCGGGCCTGTCGTCGGATCTCGCTCGGTTGGAGGCCCCAGAATGGATTCAGATCGTCGTAGATTTGGTCAAAAAAATCTTCGACAATGATCGCATTATTGGACTGGGCGAATTCGAACCACTCTTTGAAGCCGGGTGGTGGATGTCGTCCCCGACGGCGACGATATTGGTCGGCTGCTGCATTGAAGGATTTTGCCTCCTTTGCAAGCAGCGATCGCCATTCTGCATCCGCTTTCAAGATGAGTTGATCGATAGGATGGCTTCCTTGTGATGAACCTGCGTGGTTGTATGGTATATTAAACCCTAGTGGTTTGTTGGTTCGATTGGTGAGCAACCAGAAACCCAGGGTGAATAAGATTGCTGAAAATATGAGACTGACAAATTGAAGTTTCAACAAAGACACTTTCACCATGTTGGAGGGGGAATGCAGTGACAGGAAGAGAGAGGTTGTCAGGGAGAATGGTCACTACCATGGTGCCTTATCAGACACAGGGCTTGTCCCAATCCACCGATGCCATGGATACTACCAGGCTGAAACCGCCATGAACCTCGAAGATTTTGGAACACATCAATTGTGGTCGCTGCGCCGCAAAATGGCCGGAGTGAATCGACTATGCCATCAGCTCATGTATGGAGCACCGGGGAATTCAATGATTGGCCCGAATCAATGTCCCAGCAAGCTACCTACCCTTAGTGGATAGTTTGGAATCAGTAAAGGATCGACATTATGGATAAGATTAGGTTAAGGTTCTTCCAGTTGATCTACATTTTCATCATGGCGGTTGTGGTATTCCTGATGGGTTTAGATTTAACAAGACAAAGCTCTCTTTCCTTCTTTACCCCCAATGTCATCCAGGATAACTTTGGAGTAAGTAAAGCAGGTACATAAGGATCATGTAATACCCTGCATTCATGCATTGGTTGTTCAAAGCCCATGCGCTCCAAGGTAAACTAATTGGCTGAAAGTAGACGCTCAGCCTGCACTAGCCAGGGATTAAGGAAACTACCTTACTAGCTGCTATCTACTTCGCCTGTCGCTGTTAGTGCTGCGAGTTCGGAAATGGCCGGGCGACAATCCCTCCGAGGGCTAATTTGAAAAGGGGCATCAGCATGTTTTGGTAGGATTGAACTTGTGGGAATGAGCTAGTATATTCTCTTATACTGGTAGTCAGTGATCACAAAGATACGAATAATATTGGTTCTGAAATTGGTATGACTTGATGTCTTAGCTAGAACAGTGTCCTACACTGTGAAATAGATGGAGAGGCACTGTCACTAATAACTGTCCCCTAACAGTAGCAGCTATATCTTAGAGAATACTGATGCCTCCCTGCAGACCCTGTCATAGGAACCACCCAGACAGACTTATTATGAAGCCGTGCCCCTTGCCCAATAAACTTGTATATAACGCTACCATAATGTTCATACATTTAAAAGGATATAATCTCATGTTAACTTATAATAGAGTCCATATCGTCCTAACTTAGTGGTAACTAGACATGATTACAATTCATACTGTGTCCTGTTAGGCAAGGATTGAAAGTGCTGATTAGGGTTTCCTATGTTAAGTTCTTAGACAGCTTTGGTATTGGCTTTCCTGTTTGATTGGAAAGCTGGAGCGTCCCTATTCCCAGCTATAATAAACTGGTTATTTCCAACCCAGGAGATTGCTACTGACCCTTGGAATAGTGTCTCTCACCAGTAGCGTACGCGATTTGCAACAGATCAGGGGATAGATAGGCTAGTGGGTTGTTAGTAGTGCAGCAGTTGGCGACTTTCAGGGTTACATCTATACCCAACATTTCTTGCTCTCGACGCCAATTGTCCTTCTATACCTTTTACCAAATAGGAGTAAGGCTCCCATACCCTTGTTATTTATTTACGAGGATATTCTGAATCGCAGAATTGCGCTTATATACGGCCCCTCTGATCAAACATCCGCGAAATAAAGCAGCGAGTCCCCGCAGTATGTCTAGGCCAACTAGAATGTATTAACAACATAATAATGCATGGTGAGGATGCCTAACAACAGGAGCAGCACTATAGATAAGAGATGGAGCAAGTTTAGCTGCTGCAAGTTGACTGTGATAACTTTTACTATCCATAAGACTAAGATACTAGGGAGACTAATGCCAGTCATTACTCTGGTCCCTCTTAGGATGAAATGCACTAATTCTGTTAGTAGTGGTGCAAGGATAAAAATCAACCTACTGCAAGTTCACTTTCACTATCAGGAGACACTCAGAGAGGCCGATGCCAGCCGTTTACCTTGTCGGGAAACTCCAGACTTTGCCAACACATTTGACTGTAGGTGACAGTGTTTCGAGAACTCAGGCCCCGTCCAGTTGGCAGGTCAGTGGGCTGGGGTATAAAAAGCCTCTTTCGCCCACACTGAGCGGTTCTATGAGTACTTGCTGAATATATACCAACCGTCTAGACAGCCACGCAGTTAAGAGGATCCCTTTATCTAGTGCCTGCTTTCCCATTGTCCGACTCCTGAGTTGTTGGGCACTTTGAAGTCTCCGAAATTTCTGAAATCCACATCAAAAATGCTAGCAACTCCGATTATCCTTCTTGCACTTGCCACTTCGGCCAAGCTGGCCACCTCTCTCAGAATTCCCGAGGGAACACTGGACGGGGTCTATAGTGTCTACATTAACGAGAGCGGTGTCGAAGTCCACGAGCCTCTCTTCCCAGGGGACGTCCCTGCACCAACAAACTCTGAAGAGCCTGAAGTAGATCAGTTGGAGGCAAGAGACATTACTACAGTTTCTTATTGGTGCGGTTGTGGGATCACCATGTAAGTGGCAAAGTCTGTCCAGTGCTTGACAGGTTCTAACTTCTTATTGTAGGAACCATGGTGACTGCGACGCAGCTGTGCAGGCCCTGAAGAACCAGTTCGGCTCAGGACAGGCGGACATCGGAGCGCACCTGGCCTGGTATTCGATTAGCGGCAGCGTGGTGGCATTTGCCTGCAACCGTGAGGGTGGAAAGGCGGCAGGCAGTGCTGCCAAGATCACTGGCGCCCTCCAGGGTATCACGAACAAGTGTGGGTGGTATGTTCCTGGGACCCAACACCTGTACACTGGGCTATTTTACACTCCATACTTTGGGTATATGAACTACCGCCCTGGGCTTGACTTTTGCACCATGTCTGTCTCCTCCGGATCCCACAAGTGCTGAGATCGAGGCATTCGGGTGGTCTCAAGGCGGATATGGGCCAGGCATTGGTTGGAGGTATTGTTTGTTAACGATCAGTGTCCTTCAAGTCCTACCATTGTCCACTGTACTCGTAATAAGTAGATGTCTCTTAACCTCGAATCCCAATTTCCGGAGCGAAATCACACTTCAGAAGGTCCTCTGCGGTTGTGGCTGGCCATGGCTTCGCAAGATCGTCTGCGGGACAACCTAATATGCCCCTTATACCTATATCTTCTTTTGGTCCCAAGAGTGCCTGAGCCATACTGCAGACTACCCAGATTTAAACCCTAGATTTACATCTCGTTATTCCCAACAGTTGTGCTGCACTCAAGCCGCAATGCACCGCTTTCATTTCCTCCATCGCAAGGCACTTACTTCTTGTTGCAGTAAGCACCGTTCCGGGGTAATCTTTATCTCATCATGAGCCAGCTCCTTGTTGTCTTTGGCGCGACGGGCCAGCAGGGCAGGACATAAGTTTCGCCTACGATAGAATTGGTTTGCCAGTATTTCTGGCGGATATTTGATGGCGACAACTGCCCTGTTATAAGTAAATAAAGCTCAGGAATTATTGCTTAGCAGGTTGCTACGAAGAATGCTGAGTTTAGCTAGGTCATCCTTCCCTTAATTTGATCTCTGTAATAAGGCATTAAGAGCAGGTATCCTAATTCCATAATGCTTACAGCAGGAATCTACGAAATAAGTAGGCTGTACTATTCTACTCCTGAACTGCTTAGAGGCCTATACCTTTTCTAACCATCATCTGCTTTGATCATGATGGACATACATGAGGATTGAGCATTGATAAGAAATAGTTAATAGATAGTCTTGAGAAGGTATTTAATAGAGTCTCTTAATAGTGTATGTTGTGGAGGTGTTAATAGTGATCCTACTCACTAGTAGAGACATGGCTAAAACTATCTGGGAATGGCAAGTCGTAAAGTTGCACAGAAATACTATACTAGTAAATCTCTAATTCAGAGCTTCAGATAGACTATCTCATCTAACGGGTCTATTGCTGATCCGTCGATCTTGGCTGCTTCCAGAATGTAACCACGACTGGTACCTACGGGGGAACTCTAAAAACTCCGCATTCTTCTCGTACCATCTCCAGCTTCCTCCTTTTCCTCCTCTTCGCCCATTGCCCATCACCCATTGTCTTTGAGAAATCACAATGCATCCAGAGGAACCGCCCGGCAAAAACTCACTGCCAACCTGGCTCCATTTCAACTCCCACGACCTCAAAACCCTCTTTCGCTGTGTAGCCGCAACATGGGTGGCCACCATCCTGATGTTCATCCATCCCACTCTGCGGACCATCGGGACAGCCACGTTTTTCGGATGGTGAGCTAATCATCCTGCAGACGAATGGAAATCATCTGACCTGCTAGTCTGGTCCTGTTCATTAACCCCCCCTCCGGCATCGTCTTCATCTTCATCCTCGGGACGTTGACCCTGCTGATTGGAATGGCCCTCGCCTGGGCCTGGGGCGTCCTCACCATGAAAGCCGCGCTGGCCGCTCGTCCCCAGACGGAGGCTCTGGCCCGTCTGCAGGCGCTCGGACAGGAGGCTGCCAGGCAGGCGAATGCCACCGGCCAGGGTGTGGCCAGCGTGCAGCAGCAGCTCGTGTACGACGGGTTCATGCTTGATGCGCGGGTCTCGGTGATTTACTTTGTTATGATTTGCGTATTCATCTACTTTCTGGTGTGTCTTTTCTTTAGAGTCAATAAGATGATACTGATGAGATAGGCCCGGCTGCGCGCCGCGAATCCCAAGTTCACGCTCGTCCAGATCTTCGGCACGATCATCGCCGACCTGTTCTTGACGATTGGGCCGCTGCTGCCTTCGTTTCGGGGCACGCTGCCCAAGGTTCTGATCATCCCTGCTGCGATTGGCGCCGGACTGGGTCTTGTTGCCTCGTTGCTGCTCTTCCCGCAGTCGACGTCGCATGCTGTTCTGGCCGGCATGCAGGCCTTGGTCGAGTTGACGAAGCAGCCGCTCAGGTTGACGACGGAGAGGTTTGCGGCCGCCGCTCGCGGCGAGGATCTGGATTTGAAGTCCTTGTTGGCGATCAAGGGCCAGCTCATCGCCGGATACAAGGCCATCGAGCCGGCGATGGGGTTCCTGCCGTTGGATTTCTCGCGCGGCCGGTGGAACGCGGCCGATGTGAAGAGCTTGAGGCAGCCTGTGCGGCAGGTTCTGGTGAGCACTGTGTTGCTGCTGGATTATCATATCAACCGGTTGAGCGCGCAGGCCAGCGTGGACAGAGTCCGGGCTGTGTCCAAGGCGGGGACGCCCTCGGACGGGCCCCTGCAAGATGGCAAGGAGGAAAAAGAGCAACCGCAGGAAGTCGGACACCGGCAGATGATGGAGAGCTGGGATATGATTGAAGCAATGACGAGTCCCGAGTCGGAGGCGCTGCGGTCCGGGACTGATGCCATTCTGCGTGAATCCAGCGGGGAGATTCTCCAGGTGTGCGAGGAGGTGGCCAGCATGGCGGTGGAGTGCATCCACACGGTCAACTCGCATCGCTGGCTTGGATCGCGGGCCGCGGATCGGTTGGACGAGTGCCAGGAACTCCTGAAGAAGCTGCGTGCGGCCCGAACCTCCTTTGCCGAGCAGACCACCGAGAAGCTGATCGAGAGACACGGCGAGATCTTCGACGAGACCGGGAGCCTCAAGCGCCTCGACACCATTGGCGGCACGTCCATCAGCAGCGTCATGGTCGGCCTGGCCTTTGAGGAGCTTGTCATCTCCGTCGCGGACGCTCTTGACCAGTTCCTGTCGCAGATCGTGGCTCTCCTCGAGGCCCGGCCGAAGCCGCGCCTGTGGGTTCCCACCAGCATCGAATACGCCGTGGGCTGGGTGCTGCGGCGGAACGCTCGCGCTCCCGTCGCGGGACAATCGTCCGACACGGACCCGGACGATACGGCAGTGGCCCAGGCGGACGAGACGCAGCAGCTCTTCCGCCGGATCAGCCGGGGATACCGCGTCAAGCAGCGGAGTGGCCTTGGCCGAGTGGTGCTGGGCACGTACCACTGGTTTACCAGCGCCGAGGGTCTTTTCGCCTTGCGCATGGTCATCCTGACGATCGCCCTGGCGGTGCCGGCCGTCATTCCGTCGAGTTCGGGATTTTACTACCGGGAAAAGGGCCTCTGGGGACTCATCATGGGGCAGACCACGCTGCTGGTGTACATGGCCGACTTTACCTTTTCGCTCATCTCCCGCGCCGCTGGCACGGTTGTTGGGGGTGTGGTAGGACTGGTGGCGTGGTATATCGGCTCCGGACATGGGCCGGGCAATCCGTACGGACTGGCTGCCATCTCGGCTCCGGTGATTGTGATCTTCATGTGGGGACGACTATTTCTCAGTCCGGCGCTGCTGCAAGCGACCATCATGAGCGCCGCAACGTTTTTCCTCGTCCTCGGATACAGCTTCGACGACACGTAAGTCCCCTTGCCTCTTGTCTTTAAGCGTACTGACCACCGCAGCCATATACCCCAATACGGCAATCCCGGCGTCGCCTACAACGTCTTCTGGCGCCGTCTTGTCCTGGTCTTTGTCGGCTTCGCCGCCGCGCTGATCGTCCAGATCTTCCCGCACCCCCCGTCGGCAGCCCGACACATCTGCACGTCGCTGTCCAACACCCTCCGCCGCCTGACGGACCACTACGCCCTCCTGCTCTCCTGCTGGGCGCGCCCCAACAACGACGGGCGCATGGCGGAGCAGCTCTCCATCGAGGTCGCGGAGCGTCTCGCCGCCCTGAACGGCCCCATCGCCCTGCTCGGTCTGGAGTTCTCCAGCTCCCGCTTCGACAGCGCCAGTCTGCGGCAGGTGCAGTCGCTCTGCCAGACGCTCAACCAGAACCTGGGCCGGCTGCTGCTGCTGTCCGCGACGCTGCCGGTCGAGCTGCAGGAACGGCTGGCGCGGACGTCCGGGGTGCTGGAGCAGCGCAGCATCGCGGACGTCATGGCCGTGCTGGGGGTTGTGGCGCAGGCGATCAAGACGGGGGATGCGCTGCCGGAGGTGCTGCCGACGCCGGTGACGAAACGCTGCTACGAGTATTGGCGCGGGGCGCAGTTGACGGAGGTGATGCCCTTGCAGACGGACCTGATCAGGGAGAAGGCGTATCGCCGGTACTGTGTGGCGGTGATGGCGTATGTGAGGGTGTTGGCGGCGGTGGATGAGTTGGTGATGGTGGTCAAGGGGGTATTGGGGGAGGCGCATATTGTGCAGCAGTTAGAGCCTTAGATCTACATCTGTATATTATATATCCTAATGATAAGCTTACTGTCTATCTACTAGTGCGCCAAGGCGCTACCTGCATCCTGACCAGCTGGCGCCGCAGCAGTCATCACCCATTCACCCACCACATCCAGCATGGAGTCATCCCCAAGTCCTAGAGAGTTGCGCAGACGGCCTGGAAAGGAGGATGTCATGAAGAGATGCCCAGAACTAGGTAGTAGTCTTTGCATTTGTCAAGATCAATCTATCTAGTCCGTAGTCCCTCGAGTATGTTATTGAGTGACCCTTAATATATTATCTTTATTGAGTGACCCCTAATATATCTGTAAAAGACCCTAAACCTGGCCAATGACTGTGTACTATCAAATTGATCCATCCCCACCAACAAGGCTCAATGCATTAATTTATGCGGATGTTCGGAAATTAGATCTCAGCAGTAATATAAGTAGACCATCTCCTGACTGTTTCTAACATACGGAATAGACATCAATGAAAATGAACTTCACCATCATCAACGGCCAAATCTACACCCCCGGGCTGGCCATCATCGATGCGCCCCAGCCATACACTCCTCTGGGCGGAGGTATCTCTCCCCTCTATAACCTCTAATACCTTTGCAAGTACTAAAAAATGCAGACAATCTCCAAATAGCCCTCGACATCTCCGGCAACGGCAAGCTCTGGCCCCCGGACTCCTCCTCCTCTTCCACCCTCGACTCCCTAACCCTCTTCCTCACCTCCTACACCACCTCCAAGAACCTGACCATCTCAAACGGCACAACCCCAAAAACCAATAGTGCCGGCTTCGTCGGGCCCGTTCTCGAGCTCGAGCCCGCGTCGACGGTCAAGCATGTCAACTGGGTCTGGCCGGATTGTTTAGCGGGCGAGGGGGATCAAAGTCCCCGGGGGAGGTACAATGTGTCTGTTCATCAGGGGTTCAGGGTTAACGGGACGAGGTTCTATACTGTGTTTGATTTGCCGATTGAGGTGAGCAATTCGATTGCGGAGCGGGATGGGAGGGTGAGCTGTGGGGGGTTGGAGAATGGGGTGCTGGATGCGGCGGTTGTTGCGCAGAGTAATGCGTCGTTGACGGCGTCGCCGTGGTTGGGGGGTGTCGAGGGGGAGAGTGAGAGTGGGCAGACGAGTGATGCGTGTACAATGAGATATGGAGTCAAGGGGATGGTGGTGATGCTGCTGCTGGGGGTGGCTTTGTTGTAGTTTCTGTATATATCAGCGTCCATCTAACAGTATAGATGAATTGCTGAAAGCATGTACATACTTAGAATGTCTTTATGAGCCTTTTTAGCCGATGGATGGATATCTAAACTGGAGACTAATTTGCCTCAGGATTGCCATATAACACTATCTAATGTTTGATGGACAACTGGCAAACGCAACAAACTGTTTTTTCCCCGCCCCCGCACAAAAGAAAGCTTTTCCCTCCGCACTCCAGACGCACCACGACCAACTCTCTCCTATGTAATCCAACCGCTACAGCAGATGCCTGCTCCCGGTAGCAAGAACCAAGGTCTGTCTATTGGATTCTCCCTTCCCGGATCCACCCGCCTCACGCTTACATTATGACGCTAGGCTGTTTCCAATGCACCAAACGCCGCATCGTCTGCGACAGAGCCCACCCCATCTGCAAGAAATGTCAGAAGAAAGGTATTGAGTGTTCCGGGCTGGGCCGCTTCCGATTCACCGATGGTGTCGCCTCAAGGGGTCGATTGAAGGGGTGCGCGATTCCGGCTGTGGACGTTGCCCCTGAGATTGTTTTTGCGCAGACCCAGACCCAGACCCAGAGGCAGCTCCGATGGCGGGAGGGGAGGGTCTATAGACGGTCGCGGAAGGCCAGGGTCGATCCGGTTACTGAACGGGGTACCAATACTGGTGCAGAGGGGGACGCGCCTGACGAGGTGGAGGAGGTGCAGAGGGGGACGGATACAAATGCGCTGTGTGTTGCGCCGTGGGTGGCTCCGCTGGGTGCGCGCGCGCGGATGCTCTTCTCGCACTGTAAGGCCGTTCCTCTCGAGTTCTGAAGTGAGTGGTAAGCTAATGGACAGTCGCCCGGGACGTTGCGCCGGTCATGGTCCTCCTCGATGACGTCTCGAACGGATACCGAGACCTGCTCCTCCCGATGGCCTGCACGGACGACCTGGTGCGACAGGCGGTGGAAGTCGTCGCGACGCAGTATCTAGCCCAGCTGCAGCCGTCTTTCCAGCATGCGGCCGACACCGGCCGCGCGGCGATCATCTCCCGGCTGCGTCGGGAATCCCTACACTTCTCTCCGGACAGTGTATTCAGCGCCTCGACCTGGGCCACGCTGATCGTCCTCCTGGTCGGCGAAACAATCACCGGCAGCGACGAGTACCACCACCTCCTCCAGACCTTGCTCTGCCTGGTGCGCAACCTCGCGCCGCAGGTCCCCTCCGACGCAACCCGCTTCCTCACCAAGCAAACCCACATGTGAGCTAACCCTCCCCATCCATCCTCTTCCAAAACTAATGGCGCAGGTTCCAACTCCTCGGACTACCGCTCCTGAGCGAACACCACGGCATGCATATCCTCCAAACACCCCCCGACCAAACCCTCGACTGGCTCGCCTACGACCTCCCCGCCCACTCATCCCACCACACTCTCGTCGGCCTCACCCGCCAGGCCTTCACCCTCGCCGCGCACATCTACCTCAACCGCATAACCACCAACACCGACCAGCGGGACCTAACCGAGCGTCTCCGCCGACTGATCAGCCAGATCGACCCCGACGGGCCTGGCGCGCATGCGCTCGTCTGGGCGTGCTTCATTGCGGCGGCTGACACCGCAGACGAGACGCATCGGCGGTTTTTCGTGGAGCGCATGGAAAGGGTCTACCTGAAGACAAGATTCCGGAATGTGATAACGGCCGTGCAGGCGTTGCCGGGGATCTGGGCGCGGCGGGGGGAGAGACGCTGGACGGAGGATCTGTTTCGGTCTACGGCTGCACTGGTGATGTAATCGGACGTAGCAGATTAATGGCAACTGACTTCTCCCCAAGAGAAGGAAATAAATTAGTATTCATGGTAATCCCCTCATACACACTTGTTCATATGCTGATACTAGTCGATACTGCCCCAGACCCCAGACTCCACAGTGGCGGTGGGGGCGGGGGTGGAGAGGATCAGCATCGATCACAGGCGTCCAACTCCAACAGATATGTATATAGTATATAAACAGACCTCGCTCCAAAACTCAATCTAATCATCAGATCACATCACAAGCCAAAATGTACCTCATCCTCATCCTCATCACCATCGCCCTCCTCCTCTACCCCCTCCTCTCCACTCTCCACACAACCCTCCGCACCCTCTCCCTCCGCACAATCCCCGGCCCCTTCCTCACCCGCCTCACAAAACTCTGGTACTTCCACCGCGTGCGGACCGGCCACTTCGAGACTGACAATATCGCCCTCCACCGGAGATACGGCCCCGTCGTCCGCATCGCCCCAGACCACTACAGTATCTCCGGGCGCGCGGCCGTGAAAACCGTCTACGGGGCGGGGAGCAAGTTCGCCAAATCCGCCTGGTACGAGGGGTGGAAGCACCCGGATCCGGATCGGTGGACGCTCTTCCCTGACCGGGACGAGAAAAGGCATGGTACGTCGCTTCCTGTCTTTCCCCGTGGCCCTCCCCTGTTGAACACTGATTGGGCCAGCGGAAACGCGCAAGCGGTTCTCGAGCCTCTACTCCATGAGCTCGCTGGTCCATTACGAGGAGTTTGTGGATCGGTGCGCGGATCTCTTCTGCCAGCGCCTGGGGGAATTTGCGGGCCGCCGCGAGGAGTTCAACCTCGGCCATTGGTTCCAGTGTTATGCGTTTGATGTGATTGGGGATATTACCTTTGGGGAGCGGTTTGGTGAGTGGGATTGGGTTTGCCTCTTTGGCGGGTGCGTGGCTAACTCTTGGGTAGGGTTCCTTGATCGCGGAGAGGATATCGAGGGCACGATTGCCGCGCTGCAGCGGCTGATGACGTACAGTACCCTTGTGGGCATATACCCCGAGTGGCATCCTCGGCTTTTCGGGCCACTGAGCCGCTTCAGTTGGTCTGGGGCGGGAGGGAGAGCGTATATCATGCGATTCGTCCAGGAGAAGATCAGGGGCCACGCTGGACCAAAGGCTGGCTTAGGACGGGCTGAGCAGGGGGCTCTGAAGACGCAGAACTTTGTCGAGAAGATGATCCTGGCGCGGGGCAAGGATCCAGAAAAGGTGACGGATTATCATGTGTTCATGATGGGGTTGTCGAACGTCATTGCTGGCTCGGACACCACTGCCATCAGTCTGTCGGCCATCATGTATCATCTCCTGCATTATCCCGAGGTCATGGAGAAACTCAGGCGCGAGATCGACGAGTTTACCGCACAGGGAAAGTGCAGTGACAGGGTCACCTTCAAAGAGAGTCAGGAGACGCCGTATTTCCAGGCCGTCATCAAGGAGGCGCTGCGCATGCACAGTGCCACTGGCTTGCCGCTGTGGAGGGTGGTTCCAGACGGCGGTGCCGAGATCAACGGCTATTTCTTCCCTGCCGGTACGGTGGTGGGGATCAACACCTGGGTGGCCCATTACGATGAGGAAGTCTTCCCAGACGCAGAGAGATTCCGTCCGGACAGATGGATTGAGGCCGAGAGTAATCCGGAGAAGCTCAAAGCCATGAACGAGATGCACATGCCTGTAAGTCTCCCCCTCGCGTCGCATATAGCATCACTGACGACTGTAGTTCGGCCTCGGGTCTAGGACGTGTCTTGGGAAGCACATCTCCATTCTGGAAATGTCGAAACTCATCCCGCGGATCATCCGAGACTTTGATTTTAGTACGGGGCCTGAGAAATGGGAGACGGAGAACTCGTGGTTTGTGAAGCCGACCAACTTTACTGTCCGGGTTAGACAGAGACCGCGGCTCGCAGATGAGTGAACCAAAGTCATGGTGTAACTCCCAGGTTCAGTTGTCGGTACTCCATGATCAATCCATTAATATCGCTCATATCAGTATGGTCGAAGCGGGAAAGTCCCTGCTCCGTAGGCAATACAGGACTTTGTTCATCCCTAGCACTGGCGATGATTCGGGCAACGATGATGCGAGCCAAGTGCCAGAATTCAGGTGCATACCGCACAAAGCCAATCTTCTTCCAGATGGTCTGTGGTTCGTCGGGAATGTCCTTGTCCTCGGGTTGTCGTTCGTTCCATATTCGACGCCAGTTCTCCAACCCAGTTTGGACCGGGGCGAGGGTGGACTCGAAGACCAAGGAGTTTTGCAGGTGAAATGTGAGAGAGTGCAGAGCTATATCATTAGAACTGTTCCAACGTAGAATGGTATACATACCTTGTACAGTCGTAAACAGATTCAGCGTTCCCATCTTTGAGAACTCAAGCACGGAGCGATCATCCAGCTGTCGCTGGCATATCCTCCGTACAACAGCAGTGATGGACAATCTCTCAGACCAGAAGATACACCCTTCCCACTCCCTCAGTGCGTTGAAGCATTCTGTAGCCGTGTCTGCCTGAAAGCAAGCCTCGGGACAAGCCATGTCCATCTTGAGCTCCGAAACCACCATCCGTGGAGGCGTGTGGTGGAGGATCGCCATAGCGGCATCAATCAAAAATACATACGTCAGAGTCCTATCCGGTCAGTCGTGTGTGGCTCAGAACTGAGACAGACCTACCGAATCAATTCCTCCTCGACGATAAACTGCCTCCACCAGGACTCGGACGGGCTCTCCAGCCGCAAGTTGCGGTGTGTGGCCGATTCAAGCCCGATGTCTCTCGCCAGCTGTTCCTATCAGCCAGGCTCCCAGCCAGGAATGGAGTGCGCACCATGACCATCGTCGCATGTCGATGTCTCCTCACCCGCCCCTGCGCCTCCACAGACCCTTCTCTTTTCTGCAGTGAGCAGACCAGATACGCGGTTTGTACACATTCGACGCGCTTCTTCCTCCATTCAGCCTTGTCGTATAGCAGACCGATCGACGTGTCGGACGTCTCTTTCTCCATGAAACACCCATCGCTGAACGCCATTTCTTCAACGCTGTCCAACCACATCTTGGCCGCTTGGCTGTCTTCCTCATGCGGCGACAGACACGCTCCAATAATCAGCATAACACACAGCAGAACGGTCGGTGCCGTCTCTGGATCGAACGACGGGCGGTGCACGATGGGACAGCTGGGGTACCACAGCGACCAGAAATACTCTAGAAAGCGGCGGATGTTGCTAGCAGAAAAGAAGGCGGAGCAGGATTCTTGGACGGCAGGGGACCAGTCCAGTTTGATGATGGTTTTGTCTGATTTTGTGTTGATGGTTCGGTGGAGGTGTTGGGTGATATCGTGGGCCTTATGCATGAGGATATCTTCGTGACTGGATGACGATAGGTGGATGAGTGAGGGGTCGATGGTCTCTGGCAGCAAGTCTGCAGAACAAGGGTGTCGGTCACTCCACTTGAGGAGCTCCTGTCGTTGTTTGAGCGTCTCGCGATCCAAAAACGTGGCCATACCATTGGCGCTCGTAAAGTAGGCCAGATATTCCAGCCTCTCAGCCACGGTGATGCTGTCCGAAGCCAGTGGTGGTGCAAATAACAAGTCCAGCGCGGCAAAGTCCACCGAGCCCGGGAGGTCAGGAAGAATGTCTCCATCTCGGGTTGACCATGATGAGACAATAGCTCTCTCACAGCCACTCAGTTGATCTAGCTGATCTGACTGAAAGTTTGCAGGAGCCTCCACGACATCCTCCGGTTCTTCTCGGACTCTGCATGTCCTCTCATGGCGTTTCAGAAGATCTCTGTAAATGTCAATCAGAAATTCTACGTCATATAGCGGCAGATATACTTTCGAGTGAACGATCGCCGACAGAGCCCACAGGAGTAGGGCCTGAGATTTTCATCTGCTGCTCTTAGTTACGTTCGAATCCAAAGCCGAAAAGTAGAACATACGCGACCGAAGGTGTCGCCGCAGATGCTCTGCGCGGCTGAAACTGGTGCAGCAGTATGTGCACTGCCACGGACGACTAGACATGTTGGTCTGAACGAAAAGTTTGATAGCAATGGATGCAGATCGATCTCGAGACTCGCAGGTCAAGAGTTAAGACAATCGGAAATACGGAGGAATCCGAATGTGCGGGGAGCTGACTGCAAGATGCCTGAGGCTGCAGGGATGCGGGATGCGGGACACCAGTTGACCAGTTGACTTGCCTGACCAGTTGTCGGGCATATAGACGTCTCCATCCAAAACCACAATTCAGCTTCAGTGCTAGAGTTTCTTATTGTCCAGAATCCCAACGACTGAATCATACGCAAGCGAGGTAAATATACTTCTGCTACTAGCTCTATCACAGATGTGACTTCATATCTACCGGCTTAATCAACTCCTCCTTCACCCGCATCGCTGCTCGAGTCCCCTCCTCGATCGCACCATCGATAAAGCTCCTCCAACCAACAGCCCAGTCCGAGCTCGCAAATAGAACATTCCCGTGCGGTGCACGGAGGGCATCCAGCGATGTCGACAACAAGCCGGGAGGAGAAAAGAACCAAGCTCCCTTGGAAAACTCATCCTTGCACCAGTTGTGGAACACCTGCACCATCAGTATACGCATCCAGCTGGACCGATGAGAGAACCTACCAAACGCTGAATATCCATCATGCCCGGCGCCAGATTCCGCACCGCCTGCTTTGTCTCCTCGATGTTTTCTTCTGGTTGGAGGTGGTTATGTTTCCCGCCAAAGGCGACGATATGCGTATTACCCGCGGGTGTGGTGCCATCCCCAATCGCATAGCACAGCTTGTTGAATGGATACGAGATCCCGCTCCATGAGCGCATGTCCCTGTTCGAGACCTCAGCGTGGACCTAGACGCATTGGTTGACGTGGCCGGTGTTCATGGCCGCGATGCGCTTCTCGTCCAGCGCCGGGTGGAAGGAGATGGTATTGAGCACGTTCAAGGGGACGGTGCAGATCAACCTTCTACCGCCAAATGAACGGCCATCTCTTGTCGTCAGAGTCACTTTTCCGTCTTCATCAACAACCGACTTGATCGGGCTGTTAAACGCGTACGAGAGCCGGCCCGTCCCCAACGCCTCCTGGAAGAACTTGATCGCGAAGCTCGACTGGCCCCCTTTGAACTTGTGCGTGATGAGCAGATCCAGACACCCTCTGTACGTGTACCCGCACAGCGCCCACCAGTGCAGGAACTCGAGAAAGCTGGTCGTCTCCAGCGTCCCGCAGCTGCAAAGCAGCACGAACGCCTCGAGGGTCGCGCGCTCGTGCGGAGCCAGCGTCGCAGCGATCTCGTTGATACGATCTCGCACCGACATGGTATCGTACTTTCTCGCGTCGGGGTTGTGGAAGGTATCATGCGCATACGGCATGATCTTCCGCCCCATCTCCCCGTCCACATTCACCAGCTTCTCCAGCCCGGAGATGAGCAGTGCATCCTACGCAACCCGCATGTCAATGTCCAGCCCACTCCGCAAGCAAACGCAAGAACAGGACAAACAAACCTCCTCCGCATGGCTCATAATCCTCGACTCCTCCTCCTCCCCAGTCCGCAGCTGGAAATGGTTCACCCCGCGGGAAAAATCAAACGAGGACTCGAGCTCGTTCCGCATCTGGTACCGCGATATCTCCCGCCATACATGCGGCTGGCCCCAGTGCACCCACGTCCCGCCCATCTCGAACGGATACCCGTCGATATTCGACGACCACGAGCGACCCCCGATGCGATCGCGCGCCTCGATCAGCAGGACGTTCAGACCTGTAGCGTCATCAGCTTCCCCTTACTGTAGTCTATATCCGCGGGAGGGGACAAACCGGCAATTGCGGCATCGCGGGCTGCGGTTAGACCGCAGTACCCGGCTCCTACGACGATGACGTCCCAAGTCCGGTTGCTGTCTTTGATGTTTGAGCAAGGGGAGATGACCCCGATGGAGGGCACGCCCTGGACGAGGCCGGTTTTGGGTGTCCACTGGTATCCGTCTCTGGAGGTCATGGTCGAGCTATTCTATAGCGACTATGGGGAAAGTTCATTGAGATCGCTGGGGAATGAGAGGTCATTTATACGCCTCGCGTAGGGCATATTCATGCGGTTTCCGATCCCTAACGGCTATTGGATAAATGACGGCTTGAGATTGAGGACTAGGCTATTGACCTAATTCGGATAAAAAGGTGAGAAAAGAGAATCATTCTTATCTCTGGACTGATAATGATTGTAGTGGCCCTCCTGTGATTCGTGGTGTTGATCTATATAGTTGATTACGTCAAAATCTCAGAATTGCCGAATCGGGTAATAAAAGAGAGAATTGTGAAGCCACAGTCAATCTAATTGGGTAGTACCATCACCGTTTAGACATTAAGACACGTGAAGATAGAGGAGACAAAGCAAAGACTACCAGATGGCTGGTTTACACAGTTGACTGCCTACTTCAGTTGATAACACTCCGGGTATATTCCTGCTAGCTAATGGCCGACCTAAACCGGGATACTACTCAACTCCGCTGATATCCGTTCATCGAAAAGAGGCATAGCAGGCGGGATGTGGACGGTCTCTCCTACAGAACAAAACGGACTGTAACCCTTCCCCACTCTCCGATCCAACCGGTTCGACAGCGAGCGCGCAGCCACAAACGCCATATCCGATTTCGTCCCTAGACACCACAATGCCGAGATGCAGAACTCGCAGTTCCTCCTGGCGTACTCCGACGGATCGTCACTCGCCCTGCCGTAGCCACCATGTGGTAGGGGCGTGATGTCATCTAGAAGAATGTACGCTGCCTTGGCGAAACAGCGAATGAGGACGAGGGTCCACGGCTCGGTCAGGAAGGCGGCCTCGTTCACAGAGTCGTGGTAAAAGCGGATCCGGTTCGCCAGGGACTCCCGTCCCTGAAGACAGCGCTGTGCGATCGCCCCGACGGCCAGAGCGTTGTCCCGTCGGAGGGTCGCGACAAAGTCGATTGCGCAGCGGGCCTCGCGGCGGCTTTCCAGGCCCAGTCGGCCCTCGTCGATGCCTTTCACCGTGTCTGCCAGTAGCATGGCTGCTAGGTGCCAGTGTCCTGCGACGATGACGTACCATGACTGGATGCGCGGGGGTAGGTCATCGTGGTTGGCGTTGCAGCTCAGGAAAAATTGCTTGTAGGTGGTGTTCCAGTGTTGGTAGATCCGGAGAGTCTTCTGGATGATCTCCTCCAGGCGCTCGGGACTCGCGCCACGGTAGACGAGGGTCTGGAGCCGGGTGACCTGTCGAAAGAGCAGGACTTTGACGGGGCTTGCGTCGGAGAGGATCTCGGCGGCTTCTTCGTAGGAGCAGGGCCAGCGGGGCGGGTTCGAGCCCTGCCGTGCGGCCCGTTTGTGCAGGAAGAAATCCCCCCACAGGTCTTGTTTCTCCTTTAATGCGCGGGTATATGAGATGTTCCAGCCGTCGAGGTCGACGGCCCTGTCGGTTTTCTCATTGGAGACCGACGGCGAAACGGACGTTATCTGGCTGTCCTCATCTGAGATGGCCAAAGGTCGCTGATACATGGCGGCCTGCAGGGTATCGAACATGACCACTAGCCAGAAAAGAAGGTTGACGGTTTCCTGGTGCTCGGGGTCGGCGTAGAACGCGTCCGTCTGCGGAGAGGGCGTATCGGCCATGCTGGCTACGTCGATATTGCTCTGCTCCGGCGAACTTCGTGACTTTGGTTTCTGCCGCTCCAGTCGTGTCAGCTTATATCGGATGGAAAACAGCTGTCGCACAGCCGCCTCCATGAACAGGGGTGCGCTGTCATTCTCCAGCAGCTCATGCAGCTCCATATCCTCATCGACGTTGAGCGGACGCTGTCCGATGGAGAATATGATATTCGCAAACGCAACCCGGAAAGAAGGAACTCCCGCTGCATTCTCCAGAGCACGACGCGCCTGATTCCACAAGGTCTCCCGGATGACGCGCTCGTGCTGTGCGACGGGCGAGGTCGGAGAAAAGCCATTGCTTCTTGGGATCTTCTGCGCCCACTGCGAGGCGAACGCCATGATCGCGGTGTGGAGAGCTCTCGATGCCATTTTCTCTTCTGCTGCGCTCAGATTTCGACCCCGGACGGATGAGTATGCTCGATCTAGCCGACATACTCGAGTACAGATCCGGTTCGTCCAGTTCGGTCCCCATGCCGCTTGCGCTTTACTGGAGAGCCCACTCGGTGCGGAGGTGTATGGCGAGACGGCCGTGTTGTAGGGACAGTTCTGCTCTGTGAGCCAGCATGACAGCGCATTCTCCATACTATCATGGTATATGCGGACGAGATTCTGGGTCATCATCGAGCGAGCATAGCTGTTGGAAATACTATCGGAAAGAACAAAGAGGTTGTCGATTCGATCTTGGTTGCCAGGGGGGTATAGACTGTCTGCTGAGAACGTTTGTGAAAGACCGTCACTACCGCTGTCCGGAATCACAAAGCCAGGGGACGAAGAGTAATAGGAATCATTCAGTCCCGGACTTGAGTCATCGAACTGTCGAAGAAGATCGAGTGTCTCGTCGAGGGATTTCGGCGCCGAACTCGACAAGCTCTGCTGGTAATAGTCAAGACTCGAACAACTGTCCTCGCGATCCGGGGCCGAGCCCGACGTTTCCGCATTGCTTGGTGGGACATGTGCTGTGTTTGCGTTCCAAAGCATGATACTGAACGGGTCGAGTTCAGATTCCCTGCTTCTCAGTGGTATCGAGACGGCATTCGTTTGTTCCATTGGCCAAGTCAATGGCTGATCGACAGAACCAATCGACGACACTGCATTCCCCGTACTGTTAGATAGCCATGACGAGGAGTACAGCAAGTCGTCCAACGGGCCTGTTTGCCCCGAGCGACTTGAAGCCACGTCTCCCTCAGCTCGAGGCAAGTTGCTCGCATTGCGACCTTTCTGCTTTCGACCACCGCGCGCGGCGGTCCGGTTCTCAACTAACCAGTTGAACGTGCATTCTCGATTATATTTCCTGCAGTTCGAGCACGGGATGTTGAGATTGCTCTCTTGTAGCGCCCTTCGACTGCCAGCATCAGTCTGGCTTGATGTAGATGATACAGATGAAGCATGCCGGTCTCTGCGAGCGGGAGCATCGCAGGCCCTCTTTCCCTTCCGGCACGGATCGCAGCTGTGGTGTTGGCGTCGACGATGAGCCTCCATCGCGGCGCTGGACAGTCAACTGTCTGTCAACGCTAAAAGATATCCCGCATACAGAATCGGCTATTACCGGGTTCGATGGCTATTGTGGAGAGAGATAGCTAATAGATATTTGCTAGGGGGATATGTGGAGGGAGACCTCAGTCACCTCATGTTTTGGTGGGTTTTGACTTTTGAAGCTTCGAGCCAAGAGGACAACGCGGGGTCTGGAGATTCGCGAACTTTAGTGTTAGAGGAAGAAGTTCACGAGACTTGACTGGCCTATCGATGCCTAAATCCTAGACGCACTAGATGTTTGCTAGGCCGGTCTGAGTTCGAGCCGTTGGATCATTGTGATGCTCTGGTTGGCCGACGGACCGCAGTGGCTGAGTGCTATCCACAGTTCGTGTTTGCTGCGGGGGGAGATTCCCCGTGGGGAGTTGCCTGTTGGAGAGCTTCGGATCACCGGAGATGTACAGAGTTTTGAACAAAATAGCGACAGATGGAAAGATGGCCAATAAGATATGAATAAGTCAAGAGAGCAATTGCTCAGTCTCTACGGCGTATGGAGAGGCGTGTCATCTACACTTCAGCCAGGCCACGGTAGACAGCAGACTCCACATCCACCCAAAGACTCAGAACCTGAGGATCGGCAAAGGGCAAGACCTGAGTACAGATCATCCCTGCGACCCCTTTCTCCCTATCACACCACCACCAGAGATTCGCAAGTCCTGCCCAGTGGGCGGTCCCTTCAGACCGTCCCGTGGGTCCTCCCGTCAGCATGAATGTGAGTCCCCACCCCTGAGGTGTCGATGATGGGTATAGATGAGGTATCTTGTTGGTGAGATCAGGCTTCGATGGTGGAATTGTCTGTGCCGCGAAGTTGGCAAGATTGGGGATCTGATTGCGGAACATCTCGTCGACTGTCTCTTTCTTGAGTATTTGCTTGCCGTTGATGGGGGAGGTGCCGTCGTTTAGGAGCGTAGCAAGGATTTCTGCCGCAGTAGAGACTATCAGTATTTTTTCAGAAATGGCATAGTCCAAGACAAACATACGACAATATTCTTGTGGTTTAGCAAAGCAGCCCGCTCCACCACTGTTGAAGCATGTCTTGATGTCCTCGGAGGTCCGCACAATCAGAGGCCGCCGAAGCAGGTGGTCTCGACCGGAGAGTTGGCCTTCAGGGTCTCTCTGATTCATGTACGCCAAATTCTCCTTCAGTGATGCCGATGGGAACATCGAAATGTTATTCAGCCCGAGGGGCTCAAAGATGTTGCGGTGGAAATAATCGTTCAATGAGTGCCCCGTGACTCGCTCCACCATGACACCTGCCCAGTCGATGTTTACCTTAAACATGAATTAGACGCGGGAATCTTGAGAGTAGCTGTTGCTAGCTGGACAGACGCACCCCATATTCCCACTTCTCCCCAGGCTGATGAACCAATGGCTGCAGCATATCGTAGATGTGTCCTGAGAACTCATCATAGCCAATCGGCTTGCTGTAGTCTCTCAACTTCTCATTAAAGAATGTATAGCCAAAGCCAGCTTATGTCCACGGTCAGCACTTGCTACTCACGAGGAAGCGCCCACTCACCGGTATGGTTTAATAGCATCCTCAGCGTGATTCCCCTACGCTTCTCGACCAAACTCCCATCATCCTGCAACACCTTCACATCTTTCAGCTCGGGGCATATCTTCTCAAGCTGGTCGGAATCGTCCAAGTTCAATATTCCCTGTTCGACAAGCTGCATACACGCAATTCCCGTGATCATCTTCGTGCACGAAGCAATCCAGAAGATACTGTCGAGCGTCATTGACTCCTCAGAGCCATACCCTCGCTTTCCACTCGCGTGCGCAAAATGCTCCTTGCCATCCTTGCCGACGACCACCACCACTGCACCTGGGATACCCTTTTCCTGGTCGACGCACGCCGCATCTACTCTCTCTTTGAGGGCAGTCACAGCTTGGGGAGAAAGAGAAGCCATTGTGAGAAGGTAGGATATCCCAGTGATTTGTGTCAAGTTCCGTTCTTGTTTGAGGGATCGAAATGGATAGACGTTGGGCTATATAACGGTCGTCTCCTCCCCTCATCATGTAGCGTCGGGACCTCGGTGGTCGGCCACGTACATCTACTCAGAAAAGTCGGCCGGCCATCGATCGATCAGCAAATTGTAATTTGGAGTAAATCAGAAAAGAGGACAAAAGGAACGCCAGGTTTGTCTTAGGGCCTGAAGCGTCTCCAACTGATTGCTACAGTGGACTCGGGGTATGCGGAACCGCACCGCAAACACCTCGGTCTGAACTGCGATGAATCGGCTCAAGGGCGACCACAAAATAGGTCTATCACTGCGGATCCGCACGGAAATGCAAGCCTAGAACAATGCGTTGGCGAGTATCCTGCCAATTGTTTGTGGTGTTACTTTGGCGTGCGGGGAAGACGAGGAGAAAAGTGTATGTTCTGCGTTCTGGATACTGGGAGAAGTACCCTGCATACTTGCTAGACAGAGGAACGTGAGAGTTTACCTTGCGAGCTCCGTATTATTCCTTATCACATTGCGTCAAGAAGGGGGAAGCAAGCCGGGTATGCACATTGGTTATAGGAAAAGCCTCGAGTTGGGTTGAGAGTCGATAATGCGGGTGCTTCATGCAATATTCGTGAAACAATTCCAGGTTAAGGACCTTGTACATCGAGTTACACGAGTAATCCTTGTCCAGGTCTCAGCAAGGAGGTGCTTGAAATGTTTGCCTGGAGGAGGATGCAGAGACTCGTTGATAATTGCATAGGGAGTCCTTCAGCTCACAAATACTTAAAGCCGGTTGAAAAGGGCGGCTACACGTCAGGTCGATTACGAGACCTCAAGCAAAGAAATCGATTTATAGCTCAATCTCAGCAAACATGCATATCAGGAAGGAACTCAGCGAATATGTCTCCCGTCGAGGCACAGCTGGACCCTACACTGATAACCTCAACGTCGATGTCCTGATCGTGGGAGCTGGGTTCGGCGGCATCTACTGCCTTTATGAAATGCGAAAGCTGGGTCTGAAGACCGTCATATACGAGGCAGGCGATGATATTGGTGGCACTTGGCGCTGGAACTGTTATCCAGGAGCCGCGGTGGACTCGGAGATTCCAGAGTACCAGTACTCCATTCCAGAGATCTGGAAAGATTGGACCTGGTCGACGAATTACCCCAACTATGAGGAACTGAGACGGTACTTTGACCATGTTGACCAGGTGCTTCAGGTAAAGAAGGATTGCGCCTTCAACAGCGTGGTGGTGGAGGCCCGGTTCAACACGGATGAAGGTCGCTGGCATGTCAAAACGGCTGACGGGAGAATGGCGTCCTCGAAGTACCTCATTATAGCGGCTGGATTCTCTGCAAAGCGGTATATCCCTGAGTGGCCGGGAATGGATAAGTTCCAGGGAATCATCCACCACTCCTCCTTTTGGCCGGATGAGCACAGCATTGATGTCCGAGGAAAGCGCTGTGCGATCATTGGAACCGGCGCGTCTGGTGTCCAAGTCACGCAAGCCTGGGGTCCAAAGGCCGGCTCGCTAAAGGTCTTCCAGCGAACCCCCAACCTGGCCATTCCCATGCGTAAACGGTCCCTATCCGACAAGGATCAACAAAAGGCCAAAGCACTGTATCCCGAACTGTTCTCGCTCCGTGAAAAGGGCTTCGCGGGTTTCCTCTACCCATTCTCTGAGAAGAGTCTCTGGGAAGATAACGAAGAGGAACGGGAAGCTTTCCTCGAGAAGCTATGGGCAGAAGGGGGATTCCGCTTCTGGGTCGCCAGCTATCGCGATTACCTCTTTGACTCCGAAGCCAACCGCATCGTGTATGACTTCTGGTGCAGAAAGGTCCGTCAACGCATCGGCGATCCCAAGGCACGAGAGTTGCTCGCGCCCCACGAGCTACCGCACTACTTCGGCATCAAGCGTCCTTGTCTTGAAGAAAACTACTTTGAGCAGTTCAACCGGGAGAATGTCGATGTGGTGGATATCAAGAATAACCCCATCGTCGGGTTCACCGAGACCGGCATCAAGCTCGAAGATGGCACCGTACACGAGTTCGATGTCGTCTGCGTCGCGACCGGATTCGACATTACCACTGGCGGCATGACCAGCATGGGGTTGACCAGCATCCACGGCACGACGCTCAAGGACGAGTGGAAGGATGGAACGTACACGTATCTCGGCTTGACGGTCAGTGGGTACCCCAATATGTTTCATCTGTATGGACCGCAGGGACCTACGCTGCTCAGCAACGGACCCACGACCGTGGAGGTCCAGGGCCGCTGGATTGCAGATGCGATCAAGCAGGTTGAGCGTCAGCGGATCAAGTATATTGACCCTCTCCCGGAATCTGCTCGGGCATGGAAGAAACGGATCAATGAACTCTCAGACATGTCACTCTTCCCTACGACCAAGTCCACGTATATGGGTGGGACCATACCTGGGAAAGTGTTTGAGCAGGGAAATTATACCGGCGGTATACCTCAGTATTTGGCAGAGATTCGCACCGCTCTTCCCAAATTTGACGGGTTCAATATTGCGAAGTATTAGGCAGACTGTTATGCAGTTGGAGATAGTCATGCTCAGTCATTCTATTAGCTCCTAGTTACAAACGCTTGCTTCCATCCGAACCCGAAACAACCAGACACCGTACCTTGCGTTTCCAGCCAATATACATACCGCAAGTCCCTATAGATATGAGGAAAGTTTTGTGAAAGGGGAGAAAGGCAGAAAAGAGTACATGAGTTGGGAATAAACCAGACTGCACAGATCGTCCTGGTCAAATGCAGGAAGTACAAAAGTCAACGGTGTCAGAATCAACTGCACAACGTCAACCCGTCCCTCCATTGCGTCAATCACTTCCTATCGCCCCAAAGCCCGACAATACCCATAGCAAGCGCAATTCCCGCGCACACCGCTCTAGCACTCTGCAGCCGTCTCTCACGAGCCATCTCTTCACGGACACTCTCGCCATTCACCGACTCCTCGGCCTCGACAACGACAAGGTCCTCGTCCTTCTTGGCGGCGTGCCTGCGAGAGAAGGACATGCACTCCGAATCCTGGATGAAACTCTGAGACCAGGCCTTGAGACCGATTTCCCTGTGGAACCAAAAGTCCATTCCGTATGACCCGATGATGGACGCGACGCACATCCAGATCAGGTAGGGGTGTTTCCGGTGCTTGGGTGAGATGGAGTATGCGAAGATAAGGCAGCCGTTGGCGATGTTTGTCAGTCGTAAACCATGTTTGCGGTTGAGGCGCTTGACTTCGTTGAGAGACCGGAGAGCGTTGGCGGAGGTGGGGAGAAGACTCAAGGAAGGGATTGTGACGGTGGAGGTGGAGTAGGAGAGGCCCTGCGACGGTTCTTATTAGGATCTTGATTCAAGGTTGTGAAGTCATGATTAAGGAAGCCGTGAAGATAAATTCGAGTGCAAAGTGACGACTGGCCAGTGCTGAGACTTACTGTGAGTATGCCCAAGGACACCGTTCCCACGAATTTGGTGACCGTGATAGGGCACGCCATTATGCTAAGATGGGCACGTTGATGACAGAGGTGTCGATTCTCACGATGTCACAACCGATGTCGAATTTCGTCGAGTATGGATGCAGACCATGCAACGCGTGATTTGATGCAGAAGAAGATGGATCATTTGAAGGTGGAGAAGCTGCCAAAGTGACGTCGGGATTATGGGCCGGCCGTCCAATGACAGACCGCCAATTAGCTTGCGCGCATCGCTGTCTGGTTGTTAGTGCCTGAGGCAGCAACGAAGATAGAATGTTCGAGGCTTTCAGGAAATCTAATGTCTTGTCCTGTGTACCAGAGTAGGTATCCTTGGGGCACTAATCATTTATTGCCACATGAAGGAGATTTAAGAAGCATGTTTCGACACTTATCTGCTATGAGAGGGGCATTGATCATGCCAAGATCTACTCCGTATGAAGCATAAAACCAACATGTGATAGGCATGCCTGTACCACCACAAGCGCCATCAAGATTACACAAAGTAGTGAAGTCTAATCAATTACTGGATCATCAAGTTACCATGGAGGACATCGGATATCCCGTTCTTTGACTAACATTTGGTGCTGATTTTGAGGTTGAGATAAACATAAATCACTGGGACATTCCGAGGCTACCGACCGAACAGCCGCGGCATCTTTGTCATTGTGGGGAATGGGCTACAGCTAGCTGGCCGAGCACTAACTTGAGCTACCATCTCGTTTCAATTCATCTAGATATCAGGTGTCTGAATACTGTCGGTCTGTTAAAGCTAGAATCTGATCAACAATTTACATCAATATAATCTTGTCCCCGCGAAAATGCCAGTTCCAACCGAAGACTACCTCAGTGACTCCTGGAAGGAGGGTCTCTTCAGTGAGTCTCCCATTGAAACTCAAAGCTGCCAATCCGCTAACATGACGTCCCAGCAAACAAAGTCGTCTTTTGCACAGGTGGCGCAGGCACCATCTGCAGTGCGCAGGTCCGCGCCCTCGTCCATCTAGGCGCGGACGCATGCATCGTCGGCCGAAACGTCGAGAAGACGGAAAAGGCAGCCAAGGACATTGCCACCGCTCGTCCAGGAGCCAAGGTCATTGGCATTGGCGCAGTTGATGTCCGCAAGTACGATGATCTGAAAGATGCCGTCGATCGCTGCGTCAAGGAGCTCGGGGCTATCGACTTTGTCATGTACGACTGCCCGCGTCGAGTCGTTCTCTGCACAGTTTGCTAACAGCTGGTTCATGATAGTGCCGGTGCGGCTGGCAACTTCCTGGCTTCCATCCAACAGCTGTCGGTGAATGCTTTCAAGTCCGTGATTGATATCGATGTGCTGGGGTCGTACAACACCCTCAAAGCGACCATTCCCCACCTCGTCGAATCCGCGAAGAAGCACAGGGTCGACGCTGAGACTCGTACGTTATCTCATTTCAGGCTTGGATCGTATCTGACCGTTGCATAGTGCGGCCCTCGCCGCTCGGCACCGGTGGACGCATCATCTTCGTCAGCGCCACCATCCACTACCGAGCAATGCCCTTCCAGGCGCATGTGGCCGTCGCCAAAGCCGGCATCGACGCCTTGTCTCACACCGTATCCATCGAGTATGGTCCGCTCGGAGTGACGTCGAATATCATCGCTCCTGGACCAATCGCTTCAACAGAGGTATGTCGTTTCTTCGTGTAAATTAAACTATGTATCTGACATTCATAGGGTCTCGACCGCCTCCTGCCCTCTGATATAAAAGAATCATACACTAAATCCCAACCTCTGGGCCGTTTCGGCTCCGTCCGTGATATTGCCGATGCGACGGTCTACCTCTTCTCGAATACTGGCAGTTATGTTTCTGGCCAGGTCCTTGTCGGTAAGTGATTTTCTGCACGATTCGAAAACCTCAGACTGACGTGTAGTAGTTGACGGCGCGAGTTGGCGCATGTCGGCTGGCGGTGCGGCGTATGGACAACTGCAGTATCCGGATTTCCTGCTCTCCGGGGACGCAGTTCAGAAGGTGAAAGGGCAGAAGAAATCGAAGCTCTGATTTTGTTCATGGTTTACCAGAAGAATGATTTTCTCTTTGTTGGACCCGTATAGATTAGTTCCCATTTGCTCTGCGCCGTTATTATTACATGGTAAAATATCGAAAAAAGTGAGAGCATAGGTATCAAACAAAGACAGGATCATGTAAGGTAGCAACCTCGCAGACAGCTGATCCGATCGTAGCGCCTTTGAACAAATCATGTCTTGGACCAATCAAATACTGTTTGGAACAGATGCCTGAGACAATGCCTTTGTGCTGTTCAATGTCTCAATCGTTGAGGCTGTCTTCCGCCATGCCAACGTTGAACAAAGAACAATGACCTTGGGGAGAGACATTCTATACACTCAACCCACCCTTCTGAGACCTGCTACTTGAGGCTGAATATGTGATGTCTTCAACTCACCATCACCACTCCTCGGCCAGATGGCGTGTTCGAGGTGAGTGAAACATCGTAGATGACTACTTGTATATAAGAACCTGTGCCCATCCTTGACCGCAACTTTGACTCTCCATTATCATATTCCCGCCTCGAACTATTCCTCTCCAAATTCCAACTCAACCCTTTTTCTACACATTTATTTACACTTCTGTTATACTGAAAACACCCCAAACAGACACAAACCATGGACTTCTTCGATCAACTCACCGATTTCGAATCCCTCCTGGAACAGGTAAGACATGTCAAGAATAACAGAAATGCCTCGATTCAGGACAAAGCTGAGTATTTTCACAAAACCTTAGTCGACCAGATTGGATCCTTCTCCGAAATAGAGAAGAAGCACTTGTACAGGTACCTCAAGCTCAGCCGCGCAAACGAAGAGCTTCAGGTTTCCTACAATGAGCTGAACGAGTTGCTCAGCCAAGAGCTGCGCAAAGTCGAGCGCAAGAATGCAGAGCTGCAGGAAACCAAAGCTGCTCTGAGAGAGGCGGAGAAAGACTGCGAGGCCAAGGAGGAGTACATCCACGACATCGAGGAAGCGAACGCTGAGCTCATGGAGAAGAACCAAGAGCAGAGAAGCCTGATCAAATCGTACAAGCAGGATTGGAAAGCTATGAAAGATGAGCTGGAGCTCCGTGACAGAACAATCGACGATCTGCAGAGGAGCTTGCGGAGCAAGGGTGCCCTTGTCCACAAACATGAGCGCGAAATCGAGGACTATCGAAAGCAGCGCAAAGAATGGGAACGGCAAGTGGATGAAGCCGCCCAATACCTGGATGACAAGAGCGAGGTCTTGAAATGGCTCAATGGAGTGGGCAGGCCTTTGAAAGGTAATTCAAGAGCATCGAGCTCTGAAGCGTCAAGCTCTGGCACACATAAGGTGTCAGACTCTGTAATTGATCCAACAACAGATGGCGGGGCAGATCGCAAGACAAATTGTACTACAGATTCCGAGAAAGAGGGTACAGTAACCTCTACGACAGGTTCTTCTGGGGACCAGCAACCCGACCTGCAAGGAAGTGCAATGGACTGTTCAAGTGAGGTTATTAGTGTGGACGAAACAAAGCCAATGTGCGGTACCACCCTGGACGAGGAAATGATGTACTTGTCTGAAAGTCAATCAGCTCTGTCCATCGAATGGCAGGCATCTCCAATGGAATGGTCTATGATCGATTGTCGCAAGCTACCATCTCCCACAAGCTCGTATGATTTGGATCTACCGCAACGGCGAAAGCGGCGAAAGCAGCGCACAAAAGAAGTCGAGGACATTGAGGTGGCACGAAAGAGAAGCAAGGTCAACCCGCATTGTGTAAGTCCCGTTCAAACGGACAGCGAGGCAGATGCTTCATTCGATTTTAGAGCAAGCGACCAAAAATCGCCAGAGACTCCATGTCCGATAGACTGCATGAAGACCGCGGAAACAATCTTCACAGTTTCGCGTGGAGTTCAAACTGTTGCCGACCAAATGGACGGACCGATAACAATCCCGTCAATAGAGTCTCCGGAAGCACCAGGACGATCACAGCCTCTACTTTTGAACGGAAGAAGAGGCCGCTATAAGGATCCTGTATACCTTCCAAAATCATATGCTAAATCCCAACAGCTGACACACCAAGCTCGAGAGCTTGATGTGAGGAGGCCAAGATTTGTGAGTGTGACTCGGCATGTGCTCAGGAGCAGAGTTGCATCTTGGCCTCTTAATCAAGCCGGGCAAGAGAACTTTGGACAAGGAGACCTTCAACAAGAGAGCATAGCAACCCCGTTAGTGTCACCATCTTTGGATCTTGGGAGTGAGTCTCTGAAAGCTGAAGCTGACGCTGGTCCCGTACTGCAAACAGTTCCACATAACCCTCACCAGAGCTCTGGCTATAGGTCACACAGTGACGGAGAGGTTGCTGATATGGCGAAGAAACAGGGGTTCTTTGGGTCTACTCCCATGGTCATGGGAGGAAAGCGGCGGTTGCTCTTTGTGACGGTGCTGGTCCTGTTGCTCTCCATAGTCCCCAGAGTCTTTCCCAACGGAGAGCGCCGATCGTGGGATAGAGTCAATTTGATGCCACAGGATCCCCTGGCAAAACTGCGCGAATGTCCAGACTCGCGATCTAACGTGGTGCGGGCTGCTGAGTGGGAGATTGTTCGAAGGACCGATTCTGATTTCTTGTCTTTTGTGTGACTGGTCTCATTATTCTGGCTCAACATATATTTAAGGAGCTTTTGGCGTTTGGTACAAGATTCTTCAATCGGGGCGTCCTTCTGTCAGTAGACCTTTTGATATTGATTGTCAAACTCAAACAAATTCCAAGATCATGATTGTGCCAGCCTTGCGTAGATAGATTTACTCCTGTTGTAGCCCTGTACCTGACTCCAGTCTAGACTTTAGACTCCACCTATTTTAGGCATCAACAGCACGTGACTCAGGCCCCACTATCAACGACCAAGAGACGTAAGCACCTTACCCAAACAGCACTAGTCCGATGATGTTGCGTCACCTGCCTCCGCCCAGCGCCACCACCAGCGAATTAAAGCACCAGACGGGTAGGCAACTGTATCGACTTCTCTTTAGTCTCCCCTCCTGACAACAATAAGCATCAAAGCGATCATCTTCTTCAACCTAAACCTTCGGATCAGCCATCATTTTCCATCAAGTATCTGACTCTTGCCATCTTCCTTTCATTCTGACTTTCTTCTTTTGTGACCTTTACCTCATGTGTGCTTTTTAAAACTCGTTGCCGAGACAATGAACCTTCGTTCGTTCCTCCTTGGGAGCGCCGTCGCTCTGGGCGCCAATGCATTGCTAGTCGTCCCCGAGACTGAGGGCGATGCTATCGCTCCACAGGGCGAATTTACTGGCATCCATCCTCTAGAGGCCTTTACTGCTCAGCAACAGCAGGTCGAACTTATTTGCAAGGAGTGCCCGTTCCGCGAAGTGAATGAGAATGGAGATGTCAGCTGGACTGACGGCTTCCTCACGTCTCTGGTGAGTTCGTCTTTCCGTTTTGTCGCAACCTACTGGTTTCGAAACGTATCGCTAATTGCTACAGGCACTGAACTTCTCTATCGAAGATGGTGCTTTGCTGGTCAATGGTCATCAGATCTTCCCGCCCCCTCCGCCATCCGTTATCACTGCCGTTCAGCGCCGGGAATCCGATGGAGTAGAGTCTGACCCCATCGCATTGGGATATGCTGTCGAGTTCATGCCTCTGGGTGTGCCAGATGACGCTCCTATGGAGCTGTCCGCTATTCGATTCACTGTTCTCGATTTGGACGGCCATCCCGTTCCGCTCGATACCGTTGCCATCACCATCATCAATGACTTCAAGGGCAACATCTACATGGCGAAGACTGACTTCGAAGATACGGCTCCGAACCGCCTCTCGTGGAAACAGTGCCGTGGAAAGCCCAAGTGTCTGCGCAAGCTTCTGGTGGAACGCATTCGGGGATTGTTTGCCGCCGCAAAGGCGCGTGTTCTTGGAATGAGGCCCAGACCTTTCGGTTGCGGTGCTGATCGTCCTCGTCCTCCTATGTCACATCCCCACCACCGCCCAGAGGGTAATTTTGATCACGATATCGTACCTGGACGCCTTTCTCCGCCAGGAGATGAGGGTCCCTTCGGGTTTGGCGGTGGCCCTCATCACCACCCTCACATGCACCATATGCATCATGGTGGTTGGGAACGTACCGTTTCCCGCATCGTTCGCTTTATTGTTGTTCCCGCAGTTCTCGGTGTTCTCGCCGGTTTGGCTGCCAGCGCTCTCGGTATGTTGGCCGGCCAGATTGTGGTCTTCCTGTGGCAACGGCATCGTCGCTCCACTCCCGAACAGAACGTGGAGCAAGGAACTGCGTCGGAGAAGGAGGGTCTGATGACCCAGGCCTCCGACGAGCTTCCTCCTGCTTACAGTGGCGATGACTCTGTCGAGGTGTCCGACACCAAGCAGTAAACAGTCGCATGCGACGATTCGAATTGTTCGACAAGACAGATGAGGCAGCAACTCTGTGCTGATTAGAGTGGATGGCTTCGAGGAGCTTGTGCCTATGAGTTATCGGTGGACGAATCACTCATTATGTTTCCTTCTGCGATACAGATTGTACTTTTTCCACACATTCACTCGTATTCCTTTCCGTCTCACGCTATAGTCCTTTAGGATAGCAAGCTTTGTTGCCGCTAGTTGGTAGTGAGCAGCAAGGCCATGGTCGTTTTCTGTCGGGTAGTACTCCGTAGCAAACTCTAATCCATCTTGCTTTGTCCTCTCGAGGAGATGTGCTACAATTTGATGACAATGTCATCTTATGAACTATAGTTACTATGATTTTCCTTAGGATAGCGATCGACGAGGACTAGTGGTGCTCGTGTCTCACAACCCACCTCATGAGTCACGTGAGCCATATTGCGGATGCCTGCCAGGAACACCGTTCGTCTCGCAGCATTCCCCTCTTCCGGCCAACAACAACATCAGTGTCGGACCTGGAATTTGTCGCAACTTCTCCTCTGATTCAAGCATGCTGCGCCTGTTTCTACGATGATTCACATTTGCTATCCAATCCAGTGTGGATTTTCATCCGGATTCTCTACTCGAGTCTGACTGCCGTCTGAGCTTCGATAGCTGTCAGCTCGCGCCGGACCTGGCTCCCAGCATCCCGCACCTATGGTCACCGGGAGGATTTGAATCAGCATCCTATTTATTATTGACCTCCATCCTCTCAGTAAATATTTGCACATCATGATGCAGTGGTCGTCATTCGTTCAAAAAGCCCAGTCTATCATCGACCCGGCCAATTTCAGCCTTCCGACTCTGACATCCTCCGATCGCAATCCCTCCAAAGCGTCCCTCTTCCGTCAGCAGTTCCGTCTCCCTGATTCCCAAAACCCATTGCAGGAAATAACCGCCGAGTTAATCCTTCCTATTCCGCTTACTTCCCCGTCGGCTACGTCTCAAGGTGATCAGCCTCGGTCTCTCGACCGCGCAGGCAATCGGTATGCTGGAAGACTCCATCTGAGCGAACGCTTTCTCTGCTTCTCCACGCTACCGACTAGCTTTGCACCATCCTCGACACTCAGTACCTCTACGCACTGGACCGGTCAGACGAACGGCACCGGGCCTTCTGGCAATGGCTTCATCATTCCGCTGAGCAGTATCCGCCGGGTGGAAAGGCTGAATAGTCTCAGTCACGTCTTCTCGCTTGCGTTGACTACGTGGAATGGCGCTCTAGGAAAGCAGCAAAATCCCAACTCTGTTCCGCAGAAATTCACCATCCAGCTGGTCGGGAGCAGGCAGGCCTGCGAACGGTTTTGTGATGGCTTAAAAAAGGGACTGCGGGAAGCGATGAAGGAGATTGAGAATCTACGGGTGGTTGTAAATGATTGTTACTCGGAATACTTGCTTTCCGGGGCCAAATCCAAAGACCAGAATCCCGATAATGCTGAAGCGCGCCAACCCCCAGATGCCGGGCTGGGAATGATCTTCCGTTATCCCGGTGATGCTCGCAAACTGCGGGACCGCAGCAAGATGAGACTATGGGGGGAATACTTCAGAGGTATGGAACACTGCAATGGATAGGGAGCGTTCATTAAGATGTTTTGCCCTCTAGAAAATGGCCGGAATGCGACACTGATCCGGCAGCCGACCTTTCATAAGCTGATTCGCGTCGGTCTACCAAATCGTCTGCGCGGAGAGATATGGGAAGTAACCTCAGGGTCTTTGTACCTTCGCCTGAGGTCACCCAAGCTATACACAGATACTCTGGCCAAATTTTCGGGCCAGGAGTCCTTAGCAATCGACGAGATTGAAAAGGACCTGAACCGGAGTCTCCCAGAGTATCCCGGCTTCCAGAGCGAAGAGGGCATTGGCCGGCTACGAAGGGTCCTTACAGCTTACAGTTGGACTAATGCGGAGATTGGATATTGTCAGGCTATGAATATTGTTGTAGCAGCTCTGTTGATGTATGCCAGTCCCTACCCTGCTGACCACCGCTGCTGACCCCTACAGATATATGTCAGAGACGCAAGCTTTCTTCCTGTTGTCTGTACTGTGCGATCGTCTTTTGCCAGGGTACTATTCCACAACCATGTACGGCACCCTGCTGGATCAGAAGGTGTTTGAATCATTGGTAGAGAAGACCATGCCCGTGTTGTGGGACCACCTTTCCAAGTCTGATGTGCAGCTGTCCGTCGTTTCCCTTCCTTGGTTTCTCTCGCTATACATCAACTCTATGCCCTTGGTATTTGCATTCCGGGTGTTAGATGTTTTCTTCTTAGAAGGCCCAAAGGTACTATTTCAAGTCGGCCTCGCCATCCTCCGCATCAACGGAGAAGAACTCCTGGATGTCCAAGACGACGGGTCTTTCATTTCAGTCCTCAAATCTTACTTCTCTCGTTTAGATGAGTCGGCACATCCAAGATCGGAGAATCCAAAGCTGAGAGCCATCACGCGGTTTCAAGAGTTGATGGTTGTTGCTTTCAAGGAATTCTCCGGCATCACACATAGCACCATCACTGAACAGCGTGACAAGCACAAGGACGCGGTCCTCGAGAATATTGAGAGTTTTGCTAAACGCACATCTATTCGGAACCTTGGCCCAGACAGCAAACGACTCAGCATGGATGATCTGGGTCTAATCTATGACCGATTCTATGAAGTGCTGTATGACCACCAGCAGAAGCAAAGGCTTATCGACGAGGAAAAGAAGCGTCAGGAGAAGAAAAAGGCCGAACGAACTTCAATACTCGGCCCTCCGATAGACCGAGAGGTGGGCCGGGTTGGCCTCGGACCCAGCCCAACTCATATGGACTACGACGCTTTCCGCGATTTCCTGGCTATCACGGCGAAATGGGCTGTTACCGATTCTCCCGGCCCATCGCGAAAGGAGTCATCGGCCGATATGAATGGCAGCTTCAGAGGCTTCGGCAAATGGGCATCTGGAATGAATCATAAGCCTGAACCTGCAGACCACGAATTCATGCAAAGGCTGTTCCGCAAATGGGCCACGGATCCATCCGAAGGTCTAAGCTTGCAAAACGTGGTAAATGGCCTTGCACGGCTGAAGGGCACTCGCGATATCATGAACAGCATTAACTATTTTTTCGATCTGTATGATGACAATGGCGATGGAAAAGTCGACCGGGAAGGCATACTCCGGATGTCAGAAGCTTTGCTCTTCCTTTCTCGCCGAGGATTCGAGGGTACTATCACACCGAGTCAATCTCTGGAAGATTTGAATGACCGGAACCACCCAGAACGGGATAAGCTGAGCACCGATGAGAGATTCCTGGGTAGCGTCAGCTCGTTCATCCGTCGATGTTTCGAGTATGCTGATCCCAGCAACCCCGAGGGCAAGACGACTGAAACAACCATCGATACGGAGGAGGCAGCTGACAAGTTGGGGTCATTTGCTATTGGAGATGACGACGACGAGGATCTTATCGACATGGATGAGGATAACAAACCCAAGGAAACTCCAACACCACAAGCACCAGATAACGAGCATGAGGCGGATGCCAACACAGAGCATAATCGCAAGACATCAGAAGCTGCCAATCCAGCGCTTGATCCCAACAATCCCCTTCATATTACCCTCCCCACTTTCCGAATGGTCATTCTCGCTGATGAGCTTCTGGAGCAATTCTTTGAAACCTTCTTTCCCCAATCGTTCCACCTGTCCGATCATCCCCACCCTGCGTCAGCAACCGCATCCCTCTCGTCGAATCTCACCACTTTCTCCAACATCGGCGCCGCCAAACCTCCCGTCAGCGCCATATCGGGTGCATCAGTTGCCGGGGCATCCGGCGGCATCGTTCCTCCAGGCAAAGGTCTCCGCGGGGTCCTGGACAACATCGTCTCCGACGGCATCCGGATGGCTGCCGAGGTCAAGAAGAGAATGGACGAGGCTCAACGGGAACTGGAGCGCAATGCTCTCAGTCGAGAAGAAGACGACGACGACGAGGATGAAGATTTCGATCCCCGCAGCGGCGGCGCCGCTTCGGCCGCCATGGTGGGAGGAATATCTAGCTGGGGCGCTGGGGCATACGGCGCCGACCCTGAGCGTCGCAGCGTCCGCGAAGCAGACCGAGACCTGCTCGAGGGAGCCGAAGTGCTCAGTGTCCGCGAGAAAGACAACGCCTCGCTCATCGATGGCAAAGACGAACATCGGGGCGCAGGCGAAGGTAGCAGTGGTCATGCTTCGCAGGCAGGCACCTCAGCACGGCGGACATCAGATCCTGAACATGATGACCACGTCGTCAGTAAGGTCGTCGAATTCGACTCATAGGTATGGTCTTGGTGCTTTAGGATTTTTCATGGAACTCAGCTTCAGAACCTGTGGTATTTGGGCGATATCAATTCATGTCTTTATGTTTGGTAGGGTGTATTGCATATCTGGTAGGCATTATTGGGGTTCTGAGATCTGAATTCATGTTATGGTTACGTGCTTCGTATACTCATGGTCATGGTCGTACTCTTCAAATCTGGAGCGTAGCGTTGACTCTTAGGGTAGGGATATAAATCTTGGGAGGCTAAGTGCTCGCAGTTCTCTACGCCGAGCCCAGTCCTTGGACAAATATAGCATTGACAAGGAGGAAACGGATCAATGCTTCTATCAGGATGAATGAGAATGTTGAATCAGAGGTATGTACATCAATAGACTGGTATCAACATCGTTAATCATGAGAGGTATATGATACTCAGTCACGAGTAGAGGGTATAATAAGGACATTAAAGGGTCAATAGAGGGTGAGAATTATCCAGCATCAGCTAAATTTGTGAAATCGGTAGATAGAAGAAGTAGTGACGAAAGTGGGAGAAAATCCTTCCGTCGCTTGAAATATGACGAAAAGACCAAAGGAGCAAAGACAGAAGCGGATGCTTTACTCCTTCTGTCCCTCGTTCTCAATCAGCTCGAGCACGAGCTGACTCCGCTCGTATTCTGGATGTTGCATGCAGATCTTGACGGTCCGGCCATTACTGGCCAGCGCGACGCCGTTGGACAGCCCGCTGGCCAGGTTGACCGAGGCCCCCGAGTTGGTGGGGACGCTGTTCGCCCCGGACCCGGGCAGACTGCTTCCGTCGTCTAGGCAAACCACGTTGTGGCCCGGGATGACCTGTCTCAGCCGGCCGTTCATGGCGTTGCGCACCTCGACGAAGTCCTCGTTGAAGAGGATGAGGAACTTCCCGTACAGACAGGCCGAATGCGCGCGGCCGACGAACTCCATTATGACGCTGCGGGATACGTCGCCGTGCTTGTTGACGTACACGGCGCAATCGGTGTACGCGACGAGGAATTCGCTGTCGCTTAGTCGGAACATGCCCAGGGGGCGCAGGTTACTGATGCGGTGGGCGATGCTGCTCAGCTGTGCTTGTGCCTCCGGGGCTTCGGACCGGAAATCGGGTACGGACCAGGTTTGCTTCTTGTCGAGGGTGAGAATCTCGATGCCCCGCTGCGTGGAGATGGCCAGGGAGGAGTGGAACATGTTGATGCCGTAGCTCTCGGCTGGGATGTAGAACTCGTCGTATTCACGGAAGAACTCGGTCTGCGAGCGACGGGTATGGAACAGTCGACTCTTGCTGGTGGCGGATTTTTGTAGCACGGGCTCCAGCACCTACACTGCATTAGCATGGGCAACCATCATCTTCCGACCCAGCATACCTTGAAGGTGGACGACAGTCCATCACGCTTCTTGTACATCACCAGAGTGCGATCTTTCATATGGCCTGCTGCAAAGAACCCAACTTCTCGGTTTCCGGACAGCTTCTGCGGCGCCCGGCGAGCAGAGTCCTTTGTTGTTTGCGAGGACACGCCACTTGCAGGGCACACGACGTCCAAGTGATACGCGATCAGGGACTTATCAGCTATCAGCAGGAAGAGATTAAACTCTTCAAATACCGCAATCTGCGTCACTCGTATGATCGGGATGGCCTAGTACTAGATTTAGCAGATGACAACAGACCACAATTGAAAAGAACTTACTCGAGCCCAACCCCGAGGGTCGTTGTATTCGGAAATGTACACGCCGTAATCAGTACCGACCGCACACATCATCCGGCCTGGAGGCTGCTGGAATACAGTCGCGCAATGGACATTGGTTCTGCAAACCGGCACAGGCCGAGTCTTTGAACCGCTATACCGCTCCTCAACTTCCCGGACAGCTCGGTCCAGGGGGGTGCCTTTGATGGTGACTGTCCTCTTGGAGATACCAGAATGATCGGAAGAGGCAAAGGCTGTGTCGGCCAGCACACGAAGTCGGAAGGGCTCGGCGTTCTGCGCGAAGAGAGCAGCAGCATGTCTCGTCTTAGCTTCCATTATTTTTTCGCACCACTCCTGCCGGTTCTGCGCGGAAAATGCGTATAGCGTATAGGTCCCATTCTTCCCGAGGTGTTTGACCTTGAACGGGTATAGGATCTTGTCGTCTTTGGAACTGTCAATCACCGTGCTTGCTACCAATGTCTTACCGGAAGAAGATGTCGCCGAGTTGCCCGAGTTGCCGCTATTGGAATGTATGAGAGGCGCAGCGCCTGCACCACGCGTCGCGGCTTGCGGTGGAGTGACCGTCGAAACCCCCCGGACGGAAGACTTGACGACGGGATCATCGTTTGTGCTCTCAAGCACCAAAAGGTCCATTGGAATCGGCAGCTTGGACACATCGTAGCTTTCATATTTGATGCCCCTCGTTGGATCGCGGGTGGTGGACAGTTTGGCAAGGACGAGGTAATGGTCGAAAAGAATGGCATGGGTGTCCACGAGGAATCGAGTGCGTGTACCAGGGCGCTGCAAGTCTCCCCGATAGATCATCTCGCGACCAAGGTGCTGCAGGTTCAGCTCTACTTCCTTCTTCATCTCCGGTCTAAGCTGCAGCTTGGCAGACAATTCCATCAGATCGACCTTCTTGCTTGTTTCACCGACCTTGTTATCACATTCCAGCGCCACGACCTTGATCTCTTCAATAGCTTGCGCCAGGTTCGTCTTTTCCTCCGAGTCCTTGACCATGTTCTTGTGGACGGTCGACAAAAGTAAGGTGTATCTCTGAATCCGAGTAATGGGAGCTTTGAGATAGGTATCCCAACTCAGACGATTCGACATTTTGTGCTCACGAGCTTGGTTTAAAAACTGTCGGAAATGAGCGTTTCTCTCGGTCTCCTTCCGAACAAGGTAGTTGGCGTGCGGAAAAGTCGCCGCGTAGTCGATATACACCGTCTTAGCCTTTCGAATCCACTCCCTGAAGATGTCACTGAAGCCCACAATGAACGGCCCTTGCTCCTTCTGACGGTACTTGAGCTGCGCGAGCAGGTACTCTTCGTTCACCTTCTTGACCGCGTCTACCTTTCCAAAAACATCGTTCAAGAACTTCGGCAATCTCTTCGGCGGAATGATGGCAGGCTGCATATTGGCCAACTGGTCCCGGTAGAGTTCACGAAGGACGTCCAGCTGTCCGATAAAGGCATCCTCAGTCGTGACGATCTCGTGCAGATTGTTCTGGCGGTCCACCTCTTTCTTCGGATAAGCCTCCCACACTTCCTTCGGAACCTTGTAGAATGTGACCCAGTCCTCGACCTTCTTCTGCGGTGCCATCTTCTGCGCCTTCAGGTTCACCTTCCTCAGCGTTCGCATGCAGTGGTGCGAATAGCAGCGTCCGAGTATTTCAGTCTCCTGTTCATGTAGCAAAGGCGAATAGCAACCAGTGCCTGTAATCTGAAATAAGACTCCCGACAGGGTCCCACTGCCGAACTTGACCCATTCCTCTTCCTTCACCAGGGCCCCCTGTTCCAGCATATTCTCGACGACTCGCGCCGCCAGTGTTTCTGCATCCGCGATATTCATCGTCGGCACTTTGTGAGTAAACAAAGCGACAATCGCGTCGACAATGGCCGACTTTCTCAGATCGGTCTCCTCTTCGCACAGATCGCGAATCCAAGCAATAATGGCGCTGAGCGCCCAAGGTTCTACACATTTCCTGAATTGCTCCGAGGACAGTTTAGCCGGATGGAACTTCTTGCGACGTCCCGCAGGGATCGTGGGTAGGTCCAGGGGTATCGCAGGAGCCTCTTGGGAAGCGTCAAGCTTGAAGGCGCCATGCTGTTGCTGTCGAAGCACATCCAGCTGCTGCTTGTACTTCGCCCGATCCGCATCGGTCTTGGATCTGATAGGGGGGTCAGTCCGAGGTCCAATAGGATGACTTGACAGAGACGTCGACCGTGGCACTTGAGATGTCGGTGTGGACACGGTCGACGCAAACGAATCCGCAGAAACAGGGTACTGAGGGCTTGTATACTGGGTTTGTTCCTGGTATTCATCTGATTCCTGGTGCCTATATGTTCCAGCCGGCATCAGATGGGGGATAAGATCTGCCTTATTCGCTGGCTCAACGGGGGCCGGTGGCAGCGGCCGCATCCCGGGATGGAAAAAGAGTTCCCCTGGTATCCCTCCGGCATCTGATCCTTCACTTCCCGAGTGATGTACATCATCGGGATAGGCTTCTGCCTCGTCGCCGTAATCGAAGCTCATGCGACGCTCGTAGGCGCCTGGCTCTGACAGACCACCAGTGCCTGCAGCATCGACCCGCGCCGGGGAAATGTAATCGTAGTATTGGTGCACTTGATCATGAGGTATGGAATAGTAGTCATAATCGTCCGAGTACTCGCCGCGGTCATCCGCAGAAACGTTGGAGCTTCGGAGCGAGCCGGAGGGGGCAAGCCCCGTGTCTTGATCTACGCCTTCATTGCGAGTCTCATCAGCATGTGCATCTGTGTCATCACCATCGTAGTGATAGCGGCCATAATAATTGCCGCCGTATGTCGCATTGTGCGTGGAATGGACTTCATCTTGACGAGAGTCTTGGCGAGGTGATGGCGCTCGCGCCGATGAATGGCTTCCATAAGCACTGATGATCGATGCATTAGTCTCCCGCCGTGTGCGCGCTTGCTCCCGCTCAGCCTGGATCCTGTCCTCTTCGTCCGCCATCTGCAGCATGGCCAGCCCGGCCGCGGCTTCCGCCTCACTGTCGTCGCTGTACGCATCATAGTTAACATACTGGCCTGTGCCCGTCGCCAGTGTTCCATTTGTGTGCGTGTGCCCCTCGTCAGGAGACAAACGCATACTCGAGGTGGCAGTGAAGGGAGGACTAGAGTCGTATTCTTGACTTGAGGTCTGAGTGTCAACATGCAGCGGTCTAGTGTCATAGCGTGTCTCCCGGCTCATACGACGGTCTATCACAGCCGCTTCCACTTCCCTCATCAAATCGTCATAACCTACCGGTTGCTCCGACCGCGGATCTAGACTACCGACCCCATTGAGATCATTGAGCGGTGATGAATCGGCATCCGCGTCGATTGGTGGACCGGGCAAGGGTCGCGACTGGGGATGCCGAGTCAAGGTATCTGTCCGGCGCGGAGAGGTTTGCGATTGCGCTTGCTGAATTGGTGGCGTAGGCAGTGACCGTCCCGACCCGCGACGGCTAAAGCTCAGTCGTTTACCGTATAAGTCTTCCGCAGGTGTTGAGTGCGCAGGTGGTTCTGGAGGGTGCTCGTCAGGATAGGGCACCATAGCGGCATCTGAGTGGCGGGGCGATTGCGGGACATAAGGGGGAACCTGTGAGCTGTGGGAGTGCGGGCGAGATAAAGTCGATGCAATGGTTGTTGCTGCCAATGAGCTTGTGGAAGGATACGGCGCGGTAGGGCTCAGCGGGGAGGCGACATTATAGGCTAGAGATGCAGACGACTGAGTGGAAAGGCCATATTGGGCTGCTGGCGAGGCGCTTCCATACGGGGCAGATGCGCGGCTCCCGTAGGGATGATCTGGTCCTCGAGGAGGAGGTGGAGGTGGCAGGGGTTGCTGAGAAGAATACGTCTGCGTTGTTTGCGGGGGCTGTGCGTACAAACTCGCTATGCTCGGCTGTCGCTGCACAGTCGGGGACCCATATCCAGCAAGACTGGCCGACTGATACGCTGCTGGATTGTACGGCTGGTGGGCAGCGGTCGCACCAGCGGTATAGGCATTGCTGCTCGAGCCGCTATATGTGAGGGAATTGTAGCCCCGCTGCTGTTGCGACGGAGTAGGTGGGAGGGCATATTGTTGAGGATTATAGGCCGGTTGCGTCGGAGAGGCGATAGACGAGTACTGGTAGGAATAGTTAGACTGAGATGAAGTTCTGTCTCGCGTTACGTGCGGCGGCCCGCCGGAGGGGATATGCGCGTATCGCGGTCCTGAGATGTCGTCGTATCCGCTGTTCGCAAGGCTATAGGACCCTTGTCCATCCTCGGTGCCATAATTACTGGATTGCCCGGCATATCGCGTAGACCCGTTGGCCGTTCGGGCGTGCTGAGCACTAGAACCTCCACCGAACAGACCCGCGTCATCCCCCACGTTATAGCTGGGCATCCTCCGTAATTGCGGATTCGCGCTCTGTTGCTGTGCATTGGAGTAGGGGTCATAGCGACTCGAGGATGGAGGTTGCGTAGACGAGGAGGTAGGATTGCTGGACTGGCCGTAGTAGGGCGGTTGGCCATTCTGATAGTGAGCCATTGTCGCAAAGAGACTCGTGGAGTAAAAAGGTCAGAGGACTTTAAAAACACGCGACCGGAGGATTTACGGCGACAATGAGGAGGGCTGCGAATCCGTCCTATGGAGTTTCTCGGTCTCTCCTTGGTGTTCGAGAGATTGCTGCGGTGTATGCAGCGCAAGTCGACTGCGGCGGGATGACGAAGACAAAGACAGACAGTCGAACTCGGTCAAAGTAAAAGGACAAAGTAGAAAAGAGGAAACTCCGACATGGATTAATTATCAGGGTCCAACCCGATGTGCTTGGAAGGGAGAAAGGTTGCTGTTACTAGATTGTTTAAGCCTCAAGTGGGCGGACCGATCTATCCCTTAGGCCTTTGGGCTTTGGGCCTTAGGCGACAACCACGCGAGAGCAATCCACTGGAACTCAGAAGGGGCTCGTGTTTAAGTTCGGTTCGCAGACGACGCAGAGCCACCAGCTAAGCCGCCAATTCCCCACCCGTGTGTGTTTGTCATGGACTCATGTCCCAGGGACTGCGGAGCCACGTGAGCTGTGGGGGAACAATGTACCTACTTATGTTCTGAGAGTCAACAAGATCAATCCTCAATAAGATGATTATCCTCGATATAAATGTGACAAAAGAGCTCAGGATGGAAATCCCGTCATATAGAAAGATGTCAGAGACATACCAGAACTGCAAATTGGCTGAGAAATCCTCATTCAGCTCCTGCGCCCATAACGCAACCAACACAAGGCCATTGGTGAAACCAATCAAAATCCGAGTTGTTGACTCAGACAAGTCCATTATTGTACCAATCATCGAGACGCTATATTGTTAGTTCTATTTCGAAATTTCAAGCTGCCCTGGTCCAGGGGAAACCATATTTGAAACACATAATCTCTGCATCACGCCAATATCCTACCATCAAGCTTCTGGTTCCACATCATCAAAGGAACATTACCTTGTGCAAAATCCCGTCGCTAGGCTGAATTGTATGGTGATGTGCATGTTCCCCTCATGCTCGTATTCTCATCTTAGCAGCTGAATTCAAATGTATTTGAAACCAGGAAATCGGCCGTGGATGGTGAGATGCAGATCTGGAACTTGAATTGAAAGAAAATATTCATGAGATTCAACAGCTAGGTATATCACATGCTAAGTATACATATGTGTTCATAAATGATACACCATAGAGAGCAAAGCATTCAAAGTCGAAACAGGCATCATGATCGCAAATTGGAAAAGAAGACAACAAGATCGCGAAAAAAATGCGCATCGAATCGAAATATAACAGCATATAAAAGCAAGACATTAGTCCATAGATGGTGAAGGTACTCCTTTTATAGCACCATACTCACACAAGTGGAAAGCGCTTCATCTTCCATCATATACTTGATCAGGTGCCAGCGTAAATTCTCCTTTCTGCAGGTGCTCGGGTTCAACATGGTCTGGTTTTATATAACGTGCGGTCAGAGCGAAGCGTAGCTTCTTGTCTGGAGTCACCGCATGCTATCGAAGCATCAGTATCTTTTCTTTGATAGTGCGCGGCTTTGGGATCCATCTACCTCGTAGTATTTCTGAAGGTTCTCGCCGTGCATGACTACCAAGTCACCATGGTTCAGCTCCATCTTGATGCAGATAGGAGCCTCACCGCATTTGCCCTTCTGCAAGGCCTTGCGACGTAGACCATCGTATGTTACTTGGTCAATCTCGCAATTGGCCAGTTGAGTCTTCAGGCTCCGTCGCTCGGCTTCCATTCGGCAACCCACCAATACGGGGTCATCTTTCAAGAGTGTCTTGGTTTTCGACAAGCCGTTATAGTACTTGTACTTCATTCGAATTGACATGGTCGACTTGGCCCCCAGGGACAGCGTGGCAATCGTTGGTCCGAGAGACGACTCCCCGTCGTCATGATACTTGTGTGGCATCAGCAACCCGCTAGCCATAGATACGGCACTTAACATACACCAATCTTCATGTCTTCAAAGTAACCAAGCATGAGTAGCTCATTTGGCGGAAGAAAAGGGTCTCCACTGCCTGCTACGGCTTGCTCAGTCGCCCAGCTCAAACGACCCAAGGCCCGCAGGACTTCATCCGGAGCATAACTGAAGCCTCTGGAGTCCACTGAAACGATGTATTTGTATGGCATGCCCTTAAAGAAAGTTCAGCTTTGTCAGATGGCACAACACCACGGGCTACTCACATAATTCACAGCAAAGTGTGCGGTGAGGGTTCCAGCGACTGAAGATTTGTTGGTCAGGAGAACAGTGATGGTCATAGAGGAGAAAGTTTGCTCGCTCACCAACACTCTGCTGTAGCGGATAACGACGCAATCCAAAGTCAGCAACCTGAAGCTGTCGAAATAGATCGTTGGGCCCGTTGGGACGACTGTTGATTATTCTGTTGGCGACAAAGTGAGTAATGCAGCCTACGCCTGGAATTCGGTAGGTCAGTTTTCTGTATGGAAACAGTGTCTCATCATCAATGTCTGGTACGGCAAATCTGGGGTCAAAATGACAAGCGCGTTTATTTGGCCCAAGGCCAAAGTCATCAATCACAGATCGTAGAGAAACCGGCTGCACGGTCAGCATTTTCTCGAATGTGCAGCTTGTCTCGACCTTTTCCGAGATTGGTCTGAGCTCATCTGTACATTTCCAACCGTGCCAATACTTTCTGGATATGCACTTTTGGCAACGTGGGCAGACAATGCCCTTCCACGCGATTCGAGAGTAGCTGACACCTTCTCCGTCTTCTTCTAGCGTTGGTAGCAAGTTGGGTACCAGATCGTGGTGTGGAACAACCTCAGGAGCTGGAGGAGTTCTAGCTTGGATGAATTTGGGATGGAACGTAAGGTCCACAGGGGGTTCGAAGCCGTTGACTGTCCAGAAGCTGTCGCAAGTTGGTTGCAGACACATCCAGCCTTCGTTGTATATACGTGGACTTGCTGTATGGCAAGCCGCACAATGGTTGATCTCGGCCAGAATCTCAGGGCGCTGATGATATGGAACAGGAGCAGCGGAACCTTTGGCTGCCCACCAGCTCTTTGTAGAGAGGTTGAGCTTCTCAAAGCGAACTTTGGCTCCCACTTTGCCTCCGATCCTCTCGTACCAGACGGCCGTAACCCGAAAGTAATCCATTACATTGTATCGGTGTGGTAGCTTTCTTCCGAGAAGTGTATTGCGGTCCCCTAGTCATCAAATCAGAAGGGCGGGCTACTCTGGGGGCGAGCAAGACGATTCACCTATGATAAGGCCCACTGGAACTTTCAGGTTCATACTATTAATGATACTACTCACAGCACTTTCCTCGCTGCCTTGATCCCTAACGAGGATGAGGTTGCCTTCTGCATCCTTAGTGCAACCTCCTCCGCTAGTATTGTTAGATACGACACGTAGGAATGCCCTAAAATCAGGATTTCACTTACACCCTTGTAAGCACGATCTCTTCATCGATGTATGAGCGAGTACCACAGTCAGCGTCAAGCAAGAACCCCCAGCACAGATGGTCGCAATGGTAAGAGCCACCTTGAACCGCACGGAACCAGGGAAGAGCATCACATAGCTCTGGGCGGCACTTGAATACCGGGTCAGCAAACGTTACAATGGGCATGGTTGAATTACAAACCTCAGCCCATGCGGGAGGCTGGCCATCGACTGGTTCCGTAGCATTATTTGCAGTCACAACTTGCGGGGCAGCCCTAATAGGCGAGACTAATCAAGGTCAGATATGGGTGTGGAAAACCTCGAGGACGCTGAGAATAGTGCAACAGGAGGATGGATGAATGAGTCTCGTTACCTGTGGAGCGAACTTTCCGTATGCGACCCGTCCTCACAGACTTGGGCTTGGGTGCCGAAACTCTGGCCGGCCTGCTTGGGCTCATATTATATTGCCTTGTAATATGATATTTTTCCCTGTGAGACGGAATGGATCTGGCTTCTATAAAAGGAACTGTAGACTTGCGTTGCTCACTCGCAGATCCAGATCGATCTAGCTGAAATCGTAGGTAGTTTGACGTCTCAAATGTATATTTCTGGCTCCGAGCCTGAACTGTCGCTGGATTTTCGAACTTCGATCAGCAGAAATCGAGTATTCCGGAGATAGGCACCATGAGGATAGGGGATTTTGAAACAAGTATATAGGAGCTAGTAGCTGGTCAGGTCCAGCTCGCAATTTAGAAGTCCTGGGTCGGAGACAAGAAGGTGGTAGGTATCAATAGAGCGAAAGCAGTCTCATCTCTAAGTCTGTCAAGAGTATATAGTGGATGTTCCCCTCATTGAGGTTGAGAGAATGTGCTAAACTGCGATGCGAGGGATAAGAAGATGAGAGAGGAAGACAGAGCTATTCTCTTCCTTGAGATCTTGATCACTGACAGTCACGAGACTGGCGCCTTACCCTAAAGGGAAAGAGGCAGGAGAAAGATAACTGATGTGTGCGCAGGCTTTACTTCACAGGAAGATTGGCAATCCTGAAAGGATTTTCTCAGAGGATATGATAGAAGTGTAAAAGGTGTCAGATATGTCTCAGCTCTATTTGGCTTTCCTAGATATAGCTTCGATATCAGATGGTGCTAAAGATTCCGATCAAGATATAATGTCTCCAAACGGACAGAATTGGGGAGTCTTTGGATGAGCTTAAGAAGGAAGAAGACAGCCTTCGTTGCGATTGAGAGGGAGCGATCTCTTCAGGGTAGTTGACCTTCTGTGAAAAATTTCAATCCCAGTTCCATGGAGCTATCATGATCACAGTTCTCGTCATAGACCGCAATGGATTGCTTACCACGGACCTATTGCCTACTAATGCACAACCTTGAGCTTGTGAACCACTAGTTAAACTAGACATTCCCCGGCCCAGGTCACGGAGAGAAAGAACACGCGAATGTCGATCTCTATGATCAAAGAAGTGGTACTCGTTGAAGTCCATCCGACGACTCCATGTCAAAAGAGTGTATGACATGCCACGAAGACAAGGTACATATTGCTGATGAAGATCAGGGTCAATGCGGGCTTCTTGGCAGTAGGACGAACATATTTTCTACCAGTAGCTTGACTTGTTCAAAAGTCATGACTTGTGCAAAATCAAAAGCTGATACTGGCGCTTCTCTTTCGAAAGAGTGAGACAGCCACGAATGCCTCCGGCTCTTGTACTACAAATCTACAACTGCAAGGTAGTCTGCAAAGTGCAAACACCTCCCTGGCTGTGGATCTGTAGATCTGTGAGCTAAACTGTAACGGTACCTCAGAACGGAGTTACTGCGGACCCCTTCAAGCCACCGCAATTCCTAGACTCCAACTCTGTCCACTTGTCCAGATTTTGGAGAATTCCCTCGGCTGTTTTTCGTCCGCAGACTATCTATCTACGCAGTCTCACGCGGGATCCATGTATGTTGTCTGAAAAATGGTCAAATCTGCATGATATATTTTGAACAATACATGTAAACCATTACTACTGATAATGGAAAAGGAAGGTTTTTCATCAGGCTCGTGTCCATGCCTGCATATGTTCGGCAAGATAACACGGGAGGCCTCGTGAACCGAAGACACCGAACCGCTGCGTAGGATAGAAGCTTTCCCCGCAGTGGCACCGGAAAAGAAGCCGGAGTCAAGAACGAAGAAACCAAGACCTCCCCAACTGGTTACGTCGAAAGCTGCTGAGGTAGACTAATCAGTAACCAGTATAATATTACCGAGGAGTCCCTGCTTCAGCCCCCGTTTTCTTTTCTTTTTCCTCATTCCTTTCTGCGCTCCCCTTCTCATCTCCCTTCTCCAACCTCTCGCAGTATACGTAGGCTACCGAAGCAGACAACATGGTCTTTCTCCCATCGGCCGAGGCAGGCGAGCTGCCCCCAATTCCCGATAGCATTCCCATCAGTGAATTTATGCTCAATGAGAAATATGGCCGCCACCCTCTTGGCCAGTCGAGAGATCCGTACACCTGCGGACTCACCGGGAAATCCTACTCCGTCCCTCAGGTTGCGGAACGGGTCGACCTTCTGGCTCGGGCGCTTGCCAAAGAGTTTAACTGGGCACCTAACAGCGGTACCGAATGGGACAAGACTCTGGCAATCTTCAGCTTGAACACTGTAAGTGATCTGGTTCTAGATCTCTCAGAAATTGCCAATGTTAACCAAGAATTCCCGACTACTCTAGATTGACACGCTACCGTTATCCTGGGCAGTCCACCAGCTTGGCGGTGTTGTGTCACCGGCCAATGCGGCATACTCGGCGGCCGAGTTGAAGCATCAGCTGCTCGACTCCAAGGCAAAGGCGTTGTTTACATGCGCTCCTCTGCTTCCTACATCGCTGGAGGCCGCCGCAATGATTGGCTTCCCGAAGAATCGAATTTATTTGCTGGAAGTACCGCCCCAGGTGGGCGGTGGAAAGGAAGCTGGTTCGGGCTTCAAGACTGTGTCTCAATTGATCGAGGCTGGGAAATCACTCCCCAAAGTGGAAAGGTTGAATTGGAGCGCAGGTGAAGGTGCTCGTAGAACCGCTTTTCTGTGTTACTCAAGTGGAACGTCCGGCCTGCCTGTTAGTGATGAAACCGTACCATACAACCCGACTACGCTGACCTTTATTTCGTTTTTTAGAAAGGAGTCATGATCTCCCACCGCAACGTCATTGCGAATACCTTGCAAATTACGGCCTCTGAGAAAACATGGCGGGACTCCCTGAGTACAACTGGCGGCCCAAGATACACCGATATTGCGCTGGGTCTTCTGCCTCAGAGTCACATCTATGCCCTCGTGGTTATTTGCCATGCCGGACCATTCAGAGGCGATCAAGTCGTTGTCTTGCCGAAATTTGAGCTCAAATCGTATCTCTCTGCAATTCAAGAGTTCAATATCACGGCCCTCTTCTTGGTAAGTAGTATCAATTTGCGAAATGGAGATATAATAGAGCGGATGCTGATCGGGTGCCTCCTCTAAGGTACCTCCAATCATTATTACCATGCTGCGAAACCAGGATGTGTGCTCCAAGTTTGACTTGAGCTCGGTCACGTCGTTATTCACAGGTGCGGCACCTTTGGGAATGGAAACGGCAGCCGATTTCCAGAAGGTTTATCCGAAAGTCATAATTCGTCAGGGCTACGGTAAGCATTGGCACGAATCAAAGCGCAAGACAAGTGGACTCTAACTCCGCCAACATAGGTCTGACGGAGACATCGACTGTCGTTTGCTCAACCCATCCCGCAGACGTATTCCTCGGCTCATCCGGTACCTTGCTCCCTGGTGTCGAGGCACGCATCATGACCCCTGAGGGCAAGGAGGTAACCAGCTACGACACACCAGGTGAACTCGTCGTTCGCAGCCCAAGTGTGGTTTTGGGTTACTTGAACAATGAGAAAGCTACCAAGGAAACGTTCGAGGACGGATGGATGCGCACTGGTGACGAGGCCGTCGTTCGGGTGAGCCCCAAGGGCAGGGAACATATCTTCATCGTCGATCGAATCAAGGAATTGATCAAGGTCAAGGTCTGTCAACCCCTTAGATGTATATCTTCGCTAGCATTAAGTCTCGACTGACTAACACATTGTAGGGCCTACAAGTCGCTCCAGCTGAGCTGGAGGCTCATCTGCTCACCCACCCAGCTGTCGCAGACTGCGCCGTCATCGCTATTCCTGACGAGGCTGCTGGTGAAGTGCCTAAGGCCGTCGTGGTCAAGTCCGCCTCCGCTGGCAACGACGACGAAGCCATTATCAAATCTATCAAGAGGCATGTGGAGGATCACAAAGCCAGACACAAATGGCTCAAGGGAGGAGTCCGCTTCATCGATGCTGTCCCCAAGAGCCCGAGCGGCAAGATTTTGCGCCGACTGCTCCGTGACCAGGAGAAGGAGTTGCGGAGAAAGGCTGGCGCCAAGTTATAAATTATTTTCCTAGTTTCTGATGCGCTGAGTAGATATTCCCAGATATAGCGTGTCTATTTTCATATTGTGATATACACGATACCAAGTGGTCAATACACTAAATACGATCCTTCAGTCTGCACTATCATAGAAACAACGGAAAACATGTTTGCAGTGTTTGACAGCGGCGCGGGGAGAAAACGAATTTCTAAGCGGGGATTGACTTAACTATGGGACAGATACTGATTATTGATCAGCAAGAAAAAAAAACATTCGAAGCTCTTCTGGATACTGATTTGTGGGATATTGCGCAGTATCCTGAGAATAAGAGGAGCGAAAAGACCTCCAGATCAACATCTCTCTCAAGAGCCTTCTCTCACCGTTCCGCCCTTTGCAGACTCACTTTTCTTTTTACTCTTTTCGAGTCGTCATAAAATGTCCTCTTCACAAGACCCCCACCATGAGGCAGACCAGGATGCCTACATCGAGGCCGATGAGGCGGAAGAGATCTTCACCCGCGATGAAGACCACCCTATGGACTCGGATCCCGAGGACGAGGACCAAGCGATGGCATACGAGGACCAGGAAATTACATTGCAAAACGACTCTTCGGCTCACTTCGACATCCACGCCGACTCCATATTCTGCGTTGCGCAACACCCAGCTCACAACAATATCGTTATCACCGGGTCTGGCGACGATACCGCCTACATCTTCGATTCGACGCCCCGCGACGAGCGGCCCGTCCTCCCCCAGAGCTACGAGTCGAATCCGCAACCAAAGGGTGAACGAACGTCGCTGACGCCTATTGCCAAGCTGGATGGACACACGGATACCGTCAATGCGGTCGCTTTCACCGAACCGAGGGGAGAATACGTCGTGACGGCGGGCTTGGACGGTCGGCTGCGGGCATGGCGCGATAACTCCCCCCAGTTGACGGGACTCTCGTGGGAATTCGTTGCGGAGTCTCAGGAGGTGGAGGAGATCAACTGGGTTGCGGTTTGCCCCTGTCCGAATGGCGATGAGGAGAAGCGGAATGTTATCGCTCTCGGTGCAAACGACGGTAGCGCCTGGGTCTTCCGCATCAATCACACCGATGCCGCTGAGCCCATCTCCATGATCCAGACTTTCTTCCAGCACACTGCGTCCTGCACCGCTGGCGCGTGGACTCCCGACGGTAATCTGCTCGCTACCGTCTCCGAAGACGGCAGCTTCTATGTATATGATGTCTGGGGCGCCGCCGCGGCCGCTGGTATCTCCTATTCCGCCGGTACCAGCGCCGTCGTCGGCCTGACCCCCGAGGATCAGCGCTTCGCCGTTGATGGTGGGTTGTACTCCATCGCGATCTCGCCGGGCGGCGGTATTGCCGCTGTTGGAGGAGCCGAGGGCCACATCAAGGTCGTCGGTCTTCCTCGCCTTGTGTCCGCCGGTGGCGCCGCCAAGTCCAAAGCCAAAGGCCCTGCCAACCAAGCCGCAAGTGGTGCCTCGGCTGCCGGTACGATCATTGCTTCGCTGCAGGCTCAAAGCGATGGCATCGAAACGCTCTCCTTCTCCTCCCCGCCATTGACACTTCTCGCCGCTGGCTCGGTCGACGGCTCAATCGCCCTGTTCGATGCCGCGCACCGGTTCGCCGTACGTCGGCATATCAAGGAAGCCCACGAGGGCGCTGCCGTCGTCAAGGTGGAGTTCCTGCAGACAAACCTGGCCGCTCTTGCGAGTCGCCCTGCTGCTGCGGCTACCCAGGGACGCCCGTGGCTTCTCACCTCTGTCGGCATGGACGGCGTCGTAAGACGTTGGGATGCTCGGGGCGGAACTGCAGCTGCGGCGCAGGGGTTGTTGAAAGAGTGGAAGGGTCATTTGGGCCTCGTGGAGAATGCAGAGGGGGAGCAGTCGGGAGGCATCATGGGCTTTGTTCAAGGGTTTGATGGAAAGCGGGTCGTCACCGCTGGTGACGATGGTGTTGCATTGGTTTTTGAGGAGTAATTGGCCTGCGGTAAATAGATATCAAATCATTCCATTGCATGTATAGACGGGAGAGGCGGAAGTTTATGACCCTGAAAAGTTAATGCGTTTGACGACTCTAATGCTTCATCAAAGACAATCCACATTTGAGGTTCGCAAGTCTAAATATTGTGCAGAAGAAAAGACAACCCTACGACCATCCTAGACCAGCAGAATAGAAGGAGAAATCAGCAGTTTTAGTGTAACAGAACAAAGAGGATATGTACATCGGTCAAACCAATCATCCCAAGCGCCATCTCTAAGAGCGAGAGCCTCATCACAACCCCACGGCAGCGGCAGTACAGCCTGCTTTCTCAGCTCGTACGAAAAGCGTGTAGCCAGCCCCACGGCAACGAAGACGTTCCTCTCCATGAACCTTCGCAAACGCGTCCATCCTTAACCGGGGTATCCGTGCTTCTGCCTCGACTTCCATGCATCCCACATCGGGTCCATCCTGCCCGTCTCATTCCCGAAAACCAAGCTTAGTGGTGTCCCTCACCGTGGTGGTGCTCGTCCTTGAGGAAGAAGTGCTCGTATGCGCAGTAACCGGCGAAGGCGACGCTGGCGATACCGAAGCCCGGGAAGATACGCTTGAAGCGGTTGAAGCGGCTGAAGGGGCCGGTGTATCTCCATGCTTCACTGAGGGAGGGTTAGTAAGTGATCAATTGGGTAGTGGGTGTTTATCGGAATCGTACTATCGGGCCCAGGGATCTCTCTTGGCGTAGACCGAGCGAGGGGAGGCCGCGGCCTTGAATTCGTTAATGTCGAAGCCGGTGGGGTTGGTCATGTTGGGTGATGAAGATGGGAGGAACGTATGCGGATTTGATAGGTAGAGGAGGGACGGAGGCGAGAGTGTGTCTCCGAGGTTCCGGAGGTTCGCGAGAACAGGTGAAAGTAAGATAATTCTGAATTAGTCTCCACCGAGGAGGAACGGGAGAAGTTGAAGCTGTACAGGGACGTGAGAACCGGGCTTGGCACTCGGGCAGTGCGCTAAGCCGGATTCGGCGACGAGAGCTTGTCCGCCTTTGTGGTCTTGCGGCAGCGAGGAATCTCCAGCGCGAAACTGGAACCCCATCGATTCCAACTCCTCCGAATATCAGATGCCTGACTACAACCCCGCGTTGCAGACGACAATATGCCACCTCCCGTCGGCAGATACGGGCCTTCTGGCCTGAGCGCTCCTTATACACATTTACAACAAGCGCATCTCCAACAACAGCAACAGCAACAGCAACAGCAGCAGCAGCAGCAGCAAGCTCAACATCATCCGGCCCACGCCCAGTCGGCCAATACGGCGCTCCCTCCTCCCTCCCTTGGCGGCCACCCTGGTTTTGCGGCCGGCAACCCGAACACTAACATCAATCCTTTTACATTATCAGGGACAGGGATTGCGAACGGCATGTCGGTCGCCGGGTTTACGGGGGCTGGTGACGGAGGGGGCTCTGGGTTGGCGAGTCATGCGGCCCAGATGGGTTTCGCGAGAGGGGCACAGATGCAGCAACAGCAATTACTTCAGACTCACGATGGTCGGCTAGCTCTCGAGACGAAAGCGGGCGCTGTGAAGACTCGGATACGGGATGTATGGAAACACAATCTGGCCCAGGAGATGGCCGTGTTACGGCAGCTGGTCGAGAAGTATCCTTACATCAGCATGGTATGGCTCCCTTGGGATGGAAACGATCTCGGTTTTGATTCAGTAGCCGAAGTACTGATCCCTTGTACAGGATACCGAGTTCCCTGGCATTGTCGCTCGTCCCATCGGATCATTTACGAATAAAGCCGATTATCACTACCAGACCCTTCGATGCAACGTTGACCTCTTGAAAATGATCCAACTCGGCATTACCTTGTTCTCAGCTGAGGGAGAGGTTCCTCCGCCAAATGCTACAGATGCAAATGGGCAGCCATACGGAAACAACCTGGTGCCGGCCCCGTGCACATGGCAATTCAACTTCCGCTTTTCGTTAGAGAACGACATGTATGCGCAGGAATCAACGGCCATGCTCGCCAAGGCCGGTATCGATTTCAATATGCACGAAAAGAATGGCATTGATCCTTTCGAGTTTGGAGCCCTCCTGATCAGTTCCGGACTCGTCCTACTCGATGATGTACATTGGGTTTCGTTCCATTCCGGCTACGATTTTGGCTACCTGATGAAGATCATGTTGTGCCAACCTCTCCCAGAGAACGAGGAGGATTTCCACAAACTTCTGAAGATTTTCTTCCCGTCGTTATATGACATCAAATACTTGATGAAACATGCAGGACGCAATCAAGCAGTCAACGATTCGCCGCTGACACCAGCCGCCGCGCAGATCTTGACGAGCCTGGGCCAAAAGTCCGGGCTTCAGGACATTGCAGACGAGCTCGGTGTGAAGCGGGTCGGCATAGCGCATCAGGCAGGGTCTGACTCACTCGTCACAGGCGAGATCTACTGGAAAATGCGTCAGCTGATCTTCAACGGCAAGATTGATGAGGCTAAGTACTCGGGGCAGATCTGGGGTCTGAACGGCCAAATGCCGGCACTGACATATCACATGCAACCTCATCAAACGCCGAATCTCAACGGAGCCACTATTTACTCGGCAGCCGGGACGCCGAGCACACCCAATACCGGTCGTCAAACCCCTCAACATCACGGTGGCAATTTCGGTGGTGCACTTACCCCTGGTGGTGCAGGTGGAGTCTTGGGGGCGTTTCAAGCAGGGAAGGCATGAGCTTTGTTTCATCGGGTCCATACTTTGCTTCTCTTGTTGTAAGGTGTTCGATCAGGTTAAGGTTCGGAGGGAGTTTATGACATGCTTTTGCATTTGGTTTCTCCTTGGGCCTCGTTCGTCCTGTATAGGCTTCTTCCTGTTATCTCCTGTCCTTCGGGCAATGCTTTGGGTGCGTTGACCGGCGTCCACTTTTCCTCTTCCCCTTTCCTCATGGTTCATCGCAGTATGTGATGGCTTTCACTTTGGTGGTGGGACATGGATTTGATACGATTTGACGGATGTACATAGCTTTGCGGCACGGCTTGTGCGATCTCATTGTTATTTCTTCCTGCATTTTCTTCTGCTATTCGACTGTCTCGGTTCATCATGAGGGTTTGTGACATTCCCTGCCTCTAGTCTGCGTTGGCAGTGTTCCCAGCTGGTGTATTCGGTGTTTTGGTGGTGTGAATGAATCCTTTCTTTAAGCTTCAGTCGTCCTGCCTCTGTTGGTTCTCAAACGCCTTCATCTCGAAGGCAATCTGGGCTCGTAGGTAGAGCAGGCGGGTTGTACTACTCTGACGAGCTCTGGGTTCATGATCACGATTCCGGGGACAGTTCGAGCTATAATCCCCTGTCCTCGATTGATTAACAATTGTCGATGCGGCACACGTAGCTCGGTGTAAGCTTGGCTCTGCAGATTGTACATTATCCGAAGCAAGGCTCGCGAGGCCATTGGTATGCAATTTCTCACCGTACCCATGATAATTGACACACACTATTAGCAAATTGCATACGATATGACCCAGCGACGAGATACCCCGCGCTTCGAACGAAGCTACGTACTGCGACTTGACTCGAGACGGAAGCACCAAGACAAGCATCCCATCACCGCTTTGGGTTGAGCATCACCACATTGCACGCTATGCCCGATCAGGCAACAGGATCCGGGCCTCTTATCGTCTTCACGAGCAGCTATCATCCATCAGCCTATCGCAAGATCCGTGGTCGAGGATGATAGTTGCTTGCGTAGGTGTCAATGCAATCATGACTGCACGGTTGCGGTTTATATTTGGCCTTGCCCCTTGCTGGCCTCCTGGAGAGGATCTTTGTTCTTAGTCTCTCATTCACGCATCTTGACAACAGATATATCTTCTCATCCGAGGGGTATCGACGGCCATACTCTTTTGCTTTTATCCTGAACATCCTCATTACCACATAGTATGGTCCTTGAGCGCCTTCAGCAGCTGACCTACCAGGTCAGCGCTTCTTCTCCCCCACCTCATCCCTTTGACCCTCTTTCAACAACAGAAATCGACACGGTAGTCGCCATCATCCGCAAGGAACATGGCAAGGTCAATTTCAACGCGGTGACTCTGTATGAGCCTCGGAAGGCGGAGATGATGGCCTGGCTCGCGGATCCCAAGAATGCGCCCCGTCCTGCGCGTGCTGCTGATGTCGTTGCAATCGCGCCTGGCGGTAAGGTCTTCGATGGCATTGTCGATCTGGATCAGAAGAAGATCGTCTCGTGGAAGCATGCGCCGGGTGTGCAGCCGCTTATTACGATGGAGGATTTGCAGGAGGTTGAGCATATTGTTCGGAAGGATCCCAAGGTAATTGAGCAGTGTGGGATTCTGGGGATTCCGAAGGAGGATATGCACAAGATTTACTGCGATCGTGAGTTATAATTCCGTGATCTGGCTTGCTGATTGAGTGTTTCTGATTATGGTATAGCTTGGACCATTGGCTATGATGAGCGCTTTGGGAGCGATGTCCGTCTGCAGCAGGCGCTGATGTACTATCGCCCCCATGTCGACGACTCCCAGTACACATTCCCCCTGGACTTTTGTCCGATCTACAATGCGGAGACCAAGAAGATCATCCACATCGATATCCCACCAGTACGACGACCCATCAGTAGGGCCCCGGCGAATAACTACCACCCAGCGTCAATCGAGAAGGATGGCGGCTACCGGACAGACATTAAGCCAATCCATATCACTCAGCCGGAGGGTGTATCTTTCAAGCTGGACGGACGCACCATCCAGTGGCAGAACTGGAGTATCCACGTTGGCTTCAATTATCGTGAAGGCATTGTGCTCAACAACATCACTTTCAATGACAAGGGAGATGTTCGACCAGTCTTCTACCGTCTCTCGTTGGCGGAAATGGTTGTCCCATACGGTAACCCCGAGCATCCCCATCAACGCAAACACGCATTCGACCTGGGCGAGTACGGCGGTGGATACATGACCAACAGCTTGTCGCTCGGATGTGACTGCAAAGGTGCTATCCACTACATGGATGCTGCCTTTGTCAACCGTGCCGGTGCCAGCACCATCGTAAAGAACGCTATCTGCATTCACGAGGAAGATGCCGGTATCCTTTTCAAGCACACCGACTTCCGGGACGAGTCCATCATCGTCACCCGTGGACGCAAGCTCATCATCTCCCACATTTTCACCGCCGCCAACTACGAGTACTGCGTTTACTGGATCTTCCACCAAGACGGCACCGTCCAGCTTGATATCAAACTAACCGGAATTCTTAACACCTACGCCATGAACCCCGGAGAGGACACCAAGGGCTGGGGTACCGAGGTCTACCCCGGCGTCAACGCCCATAACCACCAGCACTTATTCTGTCTGCGCATCGATCCCAACATTGACGGTCCAAACAACACTGTCTTCCAGGTGGATGCAGAACGAGGCCCCGGAGAGGTCGGAAGTGCGGAGAACAAGTACGGCAACGCCTTCTACGCCAAGAAGACCAAGTTCACCACGCCCCTGGAGGCCATGTCGGATTACAACGGCGCCACCTCTAGAACCTGGGAGATGGCGAACACAAACAAGCTGAACCCCCACAGCAAGAAGCCGGTCTGCTACAAGCTCGTCAGCCGAGAGGTTCCCCCACTGCTTCCCAAGGAGGGCGGGTTGGTCTGGAAGCGCGCCGGCTTTGCCAGACACGCTGTGCATGTCACCCAATGTAAGTAGCCCTTTGCGTCTTTGTGCGATCAGCCAAACTAATAGTCTTTGCCAGACTCCGACGATCAGGTCCACCCTGCAGGCCGCCATGTCCCGCAGACTTCCGGTGAGCCCTCTGAAGGTCTGCCAGCATGGATTGAGGCAGCGGGCCCCAACTGCTCAATTGACAACACGGATATCGTCCTCTGGCACACATTCGGTCTCACTCACTTCCCGTCTCCTGAAGACTACCCCATCATGCCTGCGGAGCCCATGACGGTGCTCCTTCGCCCTCGAAATTTCTTTGCTCGTAATCCGGCGTTGGATGTCCCTCCTAGCTACGCCAGAACTCCTTCGCAGATAGCCGCGGGGGCAAGCGCATGTTCCTGCAAGAAGAATGATGGGTCCAGCGTCCAGGTTTGATGTATGATTTGCCAAAGGTTATGGTGGTTAGGTCGATCGTTTGCATTACAGGGATGTCTGTTTGCTGGCTTTGAGCATCTTTCATCTGACCTTATTATCCACTTTTTCTTGTATATACCATGCTTCATTGTCACTAAGTCTATTTAGTTTATACTCATGCAGATGAGGCAGATGCTGTTGGTTCAATCTTAGGATGTAGCCGCCCAGTCATGCTATTCACTCTCTAGAGACATCTGAGTAATTAAGCAGAGTGAATACATCTTCTAATAAAAATGTACAGATGAGGCCATTAAATGTGATTCTAGGCCATTCACCACTGGGTATTCACTGCACCTTAGTTGCAGACTTCACTAGCATAAATATACCCTCAGCACTCTCCTCCTCCATCCCTCATCTCATCCCTCTTTCATCCTCTGCCTTGCTTTACACTCATCACTATATTTTGTGACGATGGCTTGTCTATAAACCTTTCTCAATTTTGATCTCGCCAGCCTTTTGATCTAATTTGGCTTCCTGAATGATCAGGTTCTGCATGGGTTTCCTTGGTTCGTACACCGAATTTGTTTCAATTGAGATCAGTCTCCATCAGTTGCGAGTGCTATACTCTCCTTTTCATCCGTGGACCCATCTGAATGAACGCACCTCGACCCGTACGGCCTCGGCGTTTGGTCATCCATCTGGTCGTCGCCCCTATCTGAGTCTCGAGCAACTCCTTCTCCTTCCTCAGATCACAGTTCATGGCATCTCTCGAATTTGGATAATTTCGTCCAGGGAATCGACCATATTGGGGACCGCAACAAACATCCAACCAAATCATTGGTAGGACATTGATATGTACATTGGAGTCATACGCTAATCAAACCGGTTCTAGAGAAACAGGGAAAGACTGCCAGGATCGGTTCGGGCGAGCCAGAATGGAGGTCAGGATCGAGGGCCCCCGAGACAGACATTGGGCATTATTATGGACCCGATACCATAGGATTCGAGTGATCGAAGAGAAAGACTCCCTGGACTTTTGCGGAGAAGCAACTCATCCGGGGGAGTGTTCTCTATTGGAAAATCAGGTATGTATTTCCACTCCTTGCGGCAGGGCCTGGCTGATTACAATGTTGCAGTGCAACTCGCCCGCTACATGGATGATTTTGGCTGCCAATATGGGTTACTTTCAACCTACGGTCCTGCGTGGTTCCTCCGACATATTAGAGGACCATGAACTGGACATCCCTTACGGAGATGAATCTGCTATATGGATTGTTTCGGTTGCCGACATGGATTCTTAACCTTTGTGATTCTTTGACTCGGTATTGACTCATTTGAATTGCTGCATGACAGGGCTAATGATGACATCGACAGGTCAAGCCAGTTATGTCGACGACTACAACGCCCAAGAGATCGCGTGCGAGACCACTCATCAGCAAGAGTCGACGGTCACAGCTGGTAACGACCATACTTCTCTAGTAGTCATCGGCGACGACGAGGGTGGCGTGGAAACTACTGGTAATACCACTATTACCGACAACGTCAGTGGCCTCAGAAGACCAGGATCCTTCACAAATGGCTATGAAAACATTTCTCTTGAAGCCAGAGTTCGAAGATGGATGGGTCCTCGATCTGGACTACGATGGAGGCGAGGGAGATGACCTACCCCCCTCGTCGCGGTGCTCGTGCTGGTCGCCGTGCTGGTCGCGGTCGCCGTGCGGCCCCCGCGTTCAACCGCCGCAGCCTCCCCCGCCTCCTGCGCCTAGCCTTCCGGCCCCTGCGCTCTTTTGCTACCGGTGCTTGCAAGCACCAACCGTTCGCGCAGCGGGGGTGCTTCCTCCCTGCGATGGGTACTCTCCTTCGGGGAGGAAGTGCTCCCGCTGCGCCAACATGCACCAGCCGTGCCTGTCGGTATGTTGACTTTCAGTGTTTCTCGTCTGACGCATCTGCTGACTTGCTCCTCGGCAGTTTCCAGCCACGGCTTTGCCGTTGGCACGCCGTGTGGTTCTGCTCTCCCACGCCGCCGATCGTGCCCCTACTGCCAGTGCCGCCAAAGCAGCGTCTTTGGCGGCCGTCGTCGCCGCGGCCTGGGCTTTTAAGGCTCGGGTCCGCGCCGACGGCGGCCCGTTGCCTCGTGGCAGTGCGCCTGCGTCCGTCCGCCCGCCTGCGCCGGCTCCGCCTTCTGCGTCGCCTCCTCCGCCCCCTGCGGCCGCGCCTGCCCCTGCGGGCCCCTTCGCTGCGCCGCTGGCGATGCTCTTGCGATACCTTACTACTATGCTCACGTGAAGCCGGCCCCGGAAGAAGACACAGCGACCTCTATTCACTCGCCCAGCCCTGCACCAGTGCTCCGCGAAGCTAGGGAGGCTAATCACTACGATAGACATCCTGAGCCCCAGCCTTCGGTTCTGGCTTCAGACAGAAGGTTTCAAGCAGGATGGAGATATCATTCGCCTTCAAGCGAAAACAGCAAGTCTAGCTGAAGCTCTTTTGATGTTAATGATTTTATCTCCATGCCAGCCAGCCCAGATAGTGGGAACCTCCCAGAAGGAAACGACGTCTCGGAGTTTGACCTAACGAACGGGCGTGTGTTTGAGAGAGCAGCTTGATCATGTCAAGAGTTTACTTGTTGAACTTAACCCCAAAGATTCGCCAATCACACATCTCCACAAAAAGGACAATCCATTGAATACCCTGACGACTCGCCTTGCTCAGAGAATGGGCTGCAGAACGTCATGCAAACTGGGATGAAGGTGGTCTCCCTAAGCCACATGAGGACATCTGAGAAAACTAAAGCCACGGATTCAAGCGCTAGAGGGCACGAGAATCACACGCATAGAGTAAGTCCAGCTCTTCTCTTCCCTCTCAAAACCCCCAATCATGCTAACTCTCTGCTTAGTCTGGACCATATCATGCGCGGACAGCCTTCGCCTTCCTCGTGGCCCCTGCCCCTCACGAGAATCAATGGATTCAAGAAGCTTTTGGTGCCGCGTGTGTCATGTATCTTCATCGAGACAGCTACCCCGCCGTCACCAGTACCGCTGACTGTCGCATGTGTTGCCGCTGTGTTCGTCCCTGTTGGTTCTCAGCCCGAGAAGGGGCGGTTATCTTGTATTTGTCACCGATGCTGATCCACCTAATTATTGGAGACCATACGTGTGTCAATCCAGTGATCTCATCCGGCACATACGTGAGCATGCTAAAGCGTTTACTGATCAGCATGAGGAGACTCTATTATACTGGATTAGCTCAAGGAGCTTTCATCAAGAGATGAACTTTATCCAGCTATGGACGTTGCCTGAGCATGTCATAAATAGCTCTAATGAAGTCTGCAACACATGAAACGTCAAATCTGATACTCCGAATGCTTACCTTGAGGAGACTGATGATGTGTTGATTGACATAACCTCTCACGTTTCTTCTACCACTGCCAATGTTCCGTCAACTACTTCGGTGATTGTGACTGCTCCAAGTCAGATGTTTTTCACGGTCTTCCTCATCTTGAGGAGATCAATGAATCGTTCCTTTGTGCTGGAGGCCCTATGGTCCGAGGACTCTGATGATGGCGAGTCACCACTAGGTGGCCATGAACCTAAAGATGAGGACTTTGGCCATTTCTATATCCATCTCCTTTATTTACTAATGATGACAATGTAAGTGACTCGTTGCCCCTACAGTTGTTGTTGTATACTAATTTGAGTCGGCCATTAGCCCTGATACTCCATGTATCCTCTCGTGAATCCCAGCCATACTGGGGACAATCAAAGAGGTCCTCTCAATCCTTGAGGTAAAGCCAGCTTGCGACCTTTTTCTGCCTCTTATGTGGCTGCATACCTCCATTTGGGGGATTTGTTCGATAAGCCGTTTCCCACCACTCGAGACCACAATTCACAAATGATGTTCAGATAACATCATGGTCTACGCAGTGACTCCGACTCGGACGTCGACTTATTGTCTTCTGAGGTGTACAACACCCAGCTCACTCTACCTTATCGCCCTTTATATCAAACAGACCAAAAGCAGAGGCTTGAAACCATCCCACGGTCTGGATTACGATACCGTATACGGACCGGTGGTGATTGAGGTGATGATCAAACTCTTGCTTACCCTCATCGCGATTCGAAATCTTGAAGCCACAAGAGCGCAGTCGAGTATCTAGTCTGGGTGCAAATGACTCAGGCCCCCCTAACCGCCGGGTGGTCATTAGAGTCTAACCCATACGAGCAGGCGGCCCCTTCAGGCTATTTCAATGCACGATGACTGGAGAACTAACCGACACCATTGGCATCAATGACCTTGATAAGGAATATTCAAGCAATTACTGAGGGACCAGTGCGGATACGAAGAGATCATGTACTCTCCTACCGAGTTGATGAGATAAACGACGGTCTCCCCATCAATATATGGAGTGCAGCGCAGTGGAAGGCTGCGATTCAGCAGATGGCGGCCGTGTCGTGGGTCTCAATGAGCCATCCATGGCAGGTTTCACTGCTGCTTGCAACGTATGGCTTTTTTTTGGGTGTACCTTGAGCGAAGCATCATGAATCGACATACTGCCATGAAAGAACTAATCGGATATTGCCTTTGCATACGTGTTTCCCTTGCTCTACCCCAAGTCCTGCTTTCTTATTTGTATCATCAAACTTCTCAGTGTCGGAATGGCGGCGTTAACTCCTGGCCAGCCCAGTGATTCGTTGCTGGCATGCAAATTTTGGTGCATGCCGTGTCTCCTTACCTCTGCAAAGAACTGGGATCCTAATGAACCTCGCCCCTTTTTTGTGAACTGTCGTATCGAGGACAGCACTTCGATGAAGTGTCGCCAGTGCAATAGTCGCCATGTGTTGTGTGAGCCGGTATGTTTCAACAGCTTTGCTATTGCATCAACATGCTAATGATGGTTCTGAGTAGGTCGCCGCGGGAGCTGCCGGAAACGCTTTGGACTTGTCGGCCATCATACAGTGGTATGCTGGGGTTTTAGACCCCGATCCGGGTTGGACAGTGGCGATCCAACCTACCTGGATGAGCACATGGGATGGGGTTGCAACCGGATTGTAATTTCACAAGCATCATTCACCGCAAAAATTTACGACGCCAAGCAACCGGGATAAGGATCTGACGGGATTGGCCATCTTACACGTGGATGACACAGAGATAGCTAGCCCTTCCAAGGGGATTGCCGAGGGGGTGAGTACGGCCAGCCAGTCTTTGTTATTGGCCTTAATATAGCAACAGACAATATGATCAAAAGATCTGGATATGGAGTATTGGAAAGAGCACAGCGAGCACTTGTCAAGAGGTCTCAGTGCTTGTGGGACAGAGAAGTGTTATCGCAAAATATCTCTATCCTGTGGAGGACCGAACCACCATTTGATCTACTCCATCACAGCATTCTCCGGTAACTTAAAGTTACGTGGCACTCGTCCTTTTTGGGGAGGCCGTCGTCGGCAGCTAGAAGCTTTCGCCCAGAACTTAGGCCCTGCAAATCTGTTCCTCACCCTATCCGCAGCAGATCTACACTGGTCAGATCTGATGGAGCATCTTCCAAACTACGAAATCTGGCGCGATGGGGATGGCAGAACACGGATACGTCTTGCAAGGGAAAATCTTCGGGATAACCCCCACATTGTTGCCCAGTGGTTCCGCCTTCTTTTTACGATATTCAAGAAAGAAGTCCCCAAGTTCGTCGTATTTCGCGCTCAACGACGCCCTCCACCGTTGCCGCGTGGTTCCGCATCTGGTATGAAGTCTTCTGCAACTTGGAAGCCATTTGCTCTTTCAGGAAGCAGGAACAATGAGTGGAATCAATACGAATGGCAGGGTCGAGGTTCAACCCACAACCACGGCACCGAGCCCCCAGTGGACTTCGTTCAGCGGGCCTGCTCGCAGCGGCGATGCCGCGGAATTGTAGATGACAAGCGCTGAAATACACAGGTGGACCCGTACACCGGCTGCTGGTTATTTCAGGAATCTATAAATAATGATGGCTATGGCCAGGTAAGGACACCCCCCCCCAGGAAAGATGGACTTGGTTGCTGAAGTAAGGTGGCAGCAGACAAAGCCGTATTTCCCAGACTGCATTTCTGATCCACATTGTCGCCTATATAGCCCGCCACAGGACTGATTCCTGACTGCTAAGTCACATCTCGGGCCCAGCTTTGGCCGGGACCGAAATCATGGGCACCGGATGGTCTGGATTTGGGCCGGCACCGAAATGAATATGCATTGTTCTTTTACATGCAAGTGATGGCTAACCATGTGGCTTTTCCAGGAACCATGGCCTCTAACGTCACCGCTCCGTGTAGAATCCCTGGTGTTGATTACGACAAAGCGTTTGTTCAGAATCTCGAAGGGAGCGCCCCGCGTCTGGCGGGTTGTTTCAAGCTGCCGAATTCGGTGGCAGTGTGGGACCTGATCAATAATGACACCGCGACCAAATATATCATCACTTGATACATTGAGCACCGCGAAAAGAATTATGGCCAGGATGGCAAACCCAACGCAGGGAGGAATAATGTTGTGGACTGGGCCCGCGATGCAAACATCCTGCCGGCCATCATGGCCCCAACCCAGCCCCAGGCTGGGGTGCTCGGCGTGCCGCTGGCTGGGCTTCCTGAAGTCACAGTCCTTTGGTACGTGGTGCAGCTGATGCGTGCCAAACCGGCTTTGTTCCCTGGCACCAACTTGGAGGCGGACCCTGTCACCCTAGACCCATACGACATCCTTCATGGGTGGAAACTCCTCGCATTCTTCTGGAACAGAGAGAGTGTCCAAACCAAAGGTTGCCCCAGCCCTATCACCTGTTCAGTCCATGGCCACATCTTGAATGATTTGAGCTCTTTCTTGAAAGGCTGTATTTACTTGTGGATGACTCACTGCTGCTCGGTGGCAGAAGAACTGGCCAGCGAAATTTGACATTGTTTCTCTCCGCGAGCCCGCCGCGACTGACTGTTCCCAGGGGCCCGTTAATCCTGGCCCACCCCCGCCTCCAGCAGGCACCGTATCGGAGGGCCGGCTTAAGAAGATGTAGGGACTCTGTGCCCACAGATACATTCCTAAAGATGCAGACATATGAGCCCTGGCGGACTGATAATGCAAACTCACATGCGTTAGCTAACCGCCGTCACCCCGGCTGTGTCTATTTAGGGCCTAGAGGAACGGTACATACGCCACTAAACGCAGGTAACCTTCGGCACTGAAATCTCTAGGAGTCATTCTATGAGGTTGAGTCGCTCTTGGACCAATTATCCACCCATTGTCACGCGGAAATGTTGCACCAGTGCTCCACCATCAGTTCATCTTCCAAACTACGTCTTGCGTGCTGTCTCCCTTGCAGGTCATGACTGAGCATTCGGCAATTCGATTGCGACGCTCAGAATCAACAAAAAATGTTGACGATCCATCTATCTCCGCAACCATGAACGGTTTCCGTGCACTTGCCCAAGGCACTGAATGCGTTATTGAACGTATCATGGGGAATCAGATGCAAATCATAACAGTGAAGGCTCTTCCTGTTCCTCTGTTTGACGTCCATGATGCATATTGAATATGATTATCATGGTTTGCTGACGACGGCGAGACGAACAACATGCCATGGGGTAAGTTGACTGTCAGGCTTCCCAATGTCACTCGTACCATTCTTGTTCGCACATCTCCTCGTAGTACCTGACTTGCGTGTTCCTTGAGTTGCTGATATCAAGGTAGATCTTCTCTTGTACAAAAACACGGTGCAGCTTCTGTCATGCAGACTATATCACTCCTGCAACATCGAGTGTTGAGACCGGTGCCGAATCTCCCGCTTGACAGCAATTATGGGATAATCGTACATATTTCCAGCACGCCGCCAGTCTGTTTCCACTATTATTGCGTTTCTGGAATCTCAGCAACAGAGCCAGTCAGGTACGGCGGCTTCGGATGATCAAACCCATGTCTTGACAGACATCTTCCTCGGCGAGAAGGGTGACTATCAGTCAAGCCCGTCTGGTACCTACCAGGGAAGTGGCATGCAAGGCCTACAACATTGCTGCTGATACCGGTGCTGCTGCCGTAGAGGAAAGCATTTAACCTCTAGTTGGCGGGCAGCAACGGTGGTCGTGGCGGCCGTGGCGGTTGGGGCCAGGGTGGTGGTCGCAGGGGCCGGGGTCCAAGAGGCCCGTAATAGAAACCAAGATCTCCGCCGCACGCCGGCGGCAGAAATAGACATCCTAGAGAGAGTGAGTACTAGGTACACAGATCCGATAATTGCCAAAATAGATGCTAACTTATACAGCTTGAGGAGCCCCGGAACCTGATGGCAAACATCATGCGAGCCTGCCGGGGTGTTCAGTCTCAACTGCCTTGGCTCCAAGTAGTACGTTTTGTCCCGAGTTTTGGGGTGAGTTAGGGCCATTGCCAGCTCTTAGAGCCACAACATCCGAGGCTGGACAGACTGGTGCGGCGAGCACCATCAAGGGAGACGAGCCAGCAGATAAAGAACGACTCCCGCAAATTAACATAAAACGATTTCCTGATCATTGACAAAGCTGGGTTCGAGATTGACGCTCGAATACTGGGGTCGGGGTTGGAGGGAGAAAGCTTGCGTTCCGGAAAGGTTTATCAAGTCTACACGCCGTGCATGGAAACGACACAAGTCTCACCATTCATGGGCGCGAAGTATGGGTCTGCTGTGTCTGTGTATCACATCAGAACATGAGAGCATCAATCCAGCTCACTGACAACAATCGAACTGAGCAGTCACAAATATTCCTCGTGCACTTGGTGGTTTCAAAATCCCTCCGGGGACACCAGAATCGTCATTCTCGTCTCAATAAAAGCGGTCATCAAGGAGATCAGGTCCGAGAAATGGCAGCTTGTCCCTCCGAACGTTCCAAGACCTGTCACAAGGCAAACAATCGATCAGCTACGCCAGCAACCCAACCAGATGCCCCCCTTGACAGGCTGAGACGAACGATAGCCCGGCGTTACGGCCGGCGAATGCCTGTTCTCATGAACAACCATCAGCCATGGAAACTTTCAAGTCATCCTCGCTCTTGAGAAGCGAAGCGGCACGCATGCGAGCAATCCTGGCCCTCATTCTCGACCAGGAACATTATTAAGAACACCATGGAGCTAAGCGGAAATAGCTCAAGATCTCGAGCGTCAGGGTGAGGTTCTCAGGGAGTCCAAGTCCTCAAAGATCTATACCCTAGTGCAATCCGAGCTCTCAGGGCTCCTTTCCAGGCGCCCCTGCAAGATGATGACAGAGAGGTGGGTAGACGCTGGGTGTTGATGCGGTCTTCAATTGATAAAAGACGCAGCCTATACGAACATGGCGCACGGAGATGGTGGGATGGAGAATATTTGGAAAGACTCAGATGGGTTGACGGTGCGAAGCCAGTCCCACCAGAAAGACGCGTCCGGGTGATAACTGGGCACCAAGTCACAATGACAGAGAGTACTCTGCTTGATGATCAGGCTGCCTGGGTTCAAAGTCCCCTACGATATGTTATAACCAACCACTGACGCCTTTAAATCCTGTGCTCGCAGCGCAGGCTTCGGCCACCACCTTGGCCTTGCTTTGCTGCCCTTTCATCTCTCTTTTACAGGTTGTCCTCGGTCAGTTCCCTTGCGCCTGTGGTTCTGCATACACATCCATCCATCTTAAAGTATCCGCTGCCACAAGAACCGGATAGTACGCTGGACCATGAACCCACTTTGGCCTATATCTCAAGAGGTTTTATAGCAAAGAACACATGAGCAAAATGTGTCTTCGTGCCCCCGGATTATGGGTCCGGTTGCCACCACACAATCTCTTCTCTACCAGGGCGTCCACCCGCAGACGAATGGACAGACAGAGGTGATGAACCAGTATATCGCACAGCGATTGCGTCCGTTCGTCAACTACTACCAAGATGACTGGGATCAGTGGATCCCTATCCTTAACTTCGCAGCTGCAGCCCTCCGAGCGAGTCTACCAGGGCGAATTCGGCCCGCAAGAATCAGAGGCGTGGACTGATGGGGCCTTCGCATCTTTGATGAGCCGTAGCGAGTCCAACTCTTTGAACCACGAAGCTCAAGATGGCATTATGTGCGTTTGCGGTACCTATCAAATGCAGCAGTGGGAATCCTGCTCTGCCTCCTCCCGCAAAGTCCTTTTGCTACAGGTGCCTGCAGGCACACTGGGCCAGCCTCCGGTTTGCCATGCGCAAACTGTAATTAACGTCGTTATGATCTTTGTTTTATCGAGTGGCCACTGGACCTACAGTGTTTAGTAAGTCTGGCACCTTGCCAGACTGCAAGAACTTGTCCGACCTTCATCCTTTCGGCTCCAGTTGCTGACGGCGCAGAAAGTTCCCTGGGACGCAAATGGTCTACCTCCGCCTGACGAAGATCTGATTGAGAAACACAAGTTGCCAGACTATGTCGACGTCGACAGAACGGCTTGGCCGACTGCCTTGAAAGGATTCGGCATTACAAAACTGCGAATTGAAGAAGACCTTACCACCTACCCCTGGGGCAAGCCAGCGATTGCACTGCAAAGAACCTTGGCAAGAACTAAGGCATACAAGAAAGATTCCCTGTTCAGTGAAATACCGCGCAACTCCTGCGCTCCTGGGCGAAGCCCAGCGGATTGTTGGCGTCGTCCATGCGGCCAAATCTCCTGAATATCAAACCACCGGACTAGAAAGGTGTCATGACTTTGACAAAATCTGCTTCCGCCAGCCAGCAAGCTGCTCTTAGAGCAGCCACGCGCCTTCGACCTGCTAGCGACCCGTACTTCCTTCACAGACATTGCCGCCATGGTAGGCGCTATCATCGCAGAACCTCAATCAGCAAAGCAGTTGCTCATTCTGCAATGACCTTCTTCTTCTGTGAAGTCCATCGGCTCAACGGCCAGCTGTACCTCGAAGATGCAGCCATCACCAACTTGCAAACACCGTTCCTAGATTGCAGCCGGCCACTTCATTCTACCAACAGTATTGGAGGTAAATTTTAGTCTACGCCAACTTTATCTGTGTGCTGGTACCTATATGTGTGGCTTTCAACTCATCAACCATGACGGGCAAGAGGAGAAGCACATGATCATGCGCCAGGCATCCCGGCAGGACCTCCATCGCACCCCACAACCAGACACATGACAGCCAAGCCGACCAGGGCAGTTAAGCATCAAGCAACAGACTTATCAGTACCGGAAACATCAAAATTGACTTCGAGGAATACAGATTCCTCAGCTCGTCTGGTGTATGCATTGTCTGCGTACAACTACGAAGAACTTCGATCCACACGGTGGTGCTCCGTTCGAAATCAGCTGCGTTTTCGACGCCAAAAAGTCGATCCTATGTGCTCAGTGTTCGTGTAGAAACGCGACCTGTATCGCAGTATGTGCAATACTTAGTTTCCACGGATTTTGCTGACCCTGATGAGACATCCACGGGGATGTTAGGCAACGCTCACGACGCCTGATACGACCTCTGTGCCCCCCCCCACCCCCGCCAGACCAAGCTCCGGATGAGTGGGCTGAGTTTGCGATGGATGTCACCAACTTCGAAGGGGAGCCATCCAGAGCAATGGAGGCGCTCGGCGGGCTGGCGGCCGTAAGAGAGCCAGCCTGGCGGGCGACTTACAACCCTGATAGAAGCTTCAACCTGGCTCGGATGGTGAACTGGGAAGCCTTACAGGTCCAGTGCGTTGGGGCTGTATCAAAACCCCCATGCAATCACTGCCAGCGCGGTAACGGCCCATGGCGCCGCTTTTGTTTTCCGACGTCGCAATGTCCATCCACATCCCAGACCGTGCCGGTGCTATCAAAGCGGCTGAAAAAGAGGTTGTTCGTTTCCCTCACTCGAAGCCAGCGATCGTGTATTGTCCTTCTCGATCCCACGAGGCGGGGATAACCCTGTGTGAGGCCTTCGACCACGCAGAGTTGGCACACCGGAAGTGGCACGGTTCCAAGAAGGAGGCTGCGGTACGTCTATCGCACTGACCTTGTTTTGGTGTTGCTTCGCTGACGAACTGGTCTGTAGAAGACAACATCTAGCTATGATTCCTTTTGCGCCGACAGACACATGAGGGTTACGCCAGCAGGGGGGCAGCGCTTCAAGTGTTCTTCGAAGAGGTGTTGGTGGCTGTCATTCGCGTTTACGGTACAAGAAAGTAAATAACCAGGACCCAACATGCTTGTTTGAAGACTTGAGCCCCAGTTGTTCAAGAAGGCGACTCTGGCTCGCTCGTGTGACCTGAAAATGGTTGGGCTAGGATCCTAAGTCTCTGGGCACACTGTCATGGGCAATGGGAATTTTTCACACATAGTGCGGATTTGGTCGAGAGTATCCGAGGCATGACTATTTATTTTCTAACGTTATAGAGGATGGAAGAAATGGACATTACGAGCTCTGGTGACTACGCCACTGAGTCAATCCTCTTCCACGAGATTCCCGGTTGGGAGTCGCTCAAGCTTCTTGTGGAAATGGACACAATCTTTCTCAACGAACTTCAACAAATCCTCATTGCCCAATATGTGAGGGCAAGAATGCTGAGGTTATTGGTGGACATGCTTGGCTGATGCAGAGACATCACCCTGAGACTGTCAAGGCTGGAGGGTGAGTTTTCATCATTCATCATCAATACTTGTGAGATCATCACACTGACATACAGTCATGCTCTAGCATTTTCATGGTGTCAGAGGACCGTGACGAGGTCTTCCTCACCTTTGGCACCTTTGACCGCCACTACCTTTGATATCTACAGAACAAAGACGCATCAAAGAGGTTCTCGGAGCTCCATACCTATGGTCCCTTCAGGATAGACAGCGCTGGCCATATGAAGCAGCTGGCAAGCATTGTGCTTGCATACGTTCTCTGGGTCGAGGTAGAACAGTCTCCGCCCAGCCAATCAACCTCACTTTCCTGGCTATCACAGATAATGATGCCTCAGGGCTCAGTCCCTTGAATCCATATAAAGCAAGGCGACATCGATGACTGTAATATCGTTGAGCCGTTCATCGTCGCTATAACCATGCAGCCTCTTCCAAAACGAGCAGGGATCGCAACGATCTGGTCGAGCTTTCCACAGCCCGGCTCTACCAAGGACAAAGAAATCGTACAGGAGCGACTCACTGAAATCCTCAGTACCAACGACTATCTCAAGGCCAATTTCGGCAGACCATCGGTGGCGGAAGATCTGAAGCGTGATATCAGCAACATCCTTGAAGAATTACCTGAATTTGTCCAGGAGGCAGCCAGCATTGACCATGAGCGCAAACATGTCATTAATGCACTCTACCTTGTCGCCCTTAATATCAAACAGACCAAGACCAGAGGGTCCACGACGATCATCCACTCCTCTCTGGTGACCTGATCACGCTTGAGACCCATGATCCCGAGAATTATCCCCTCCCAGATACCCGGATCCTTCTCCAGTGGATCCTGAATCGTGTGCTTGCATCAAGGGGTGGTGTAGAACCGAAGGACCTGGAGGATGATGAGTCGGATGGAGACTCAGATGAGGGACTTGACTATTTCCCCAGGCCTGTGTTGCAATCCCCAAGTGTTCTTGACTAACCATCGCCTCCATCCTCTATCGCCAATATTGCGAGCGACCAGCCCAAGGCCAACCCCGTCATCGCGACCACTGATACGCTCGGACAAGGTCGCATTGAGGAATAGATTATTATATATTCCAACAAGGTCTTGTCCTGTACAGGAACCCTGCTGGATAGTAGGTGTCAACACCTTGAAACCATCTCAGCGAGGCCGCGGTCAAGCATCGGATCAAGATACAGATCACGCGCAGGCCTCCGTAACTGCCCAGTGGACATCAAGAATATCGACGATGAAGAACGGAATGGCACATTTGGGCTGTATCAATGCACCAAGGAAAGCATAGCGACACCATTTACCCCTACTCTACGGATCGCGTACGTTGTGAGGAAAATGCCCGCAAGCACATCACTCCGCGCCTGCGAGACGATGCCCCAAATCCGTATGGGGATACTCCCGACATGCTGAAGCCCTGGAGACGGTTTCTGGGGATCGCAACTGTGAACGAGTGGCCAAGCAAAAGTACAATATATTGTACATTACGGCGTAGAGGGTCCATCCAACACTGCACCCTTATACAATGATGGTAAAGGACCACGACCGACTGGAAAAGATTGACGGAGAGAAAACTGTATAAGCATGTATATATCTACCTAGATAGAGTCCCTGTGCTAACTGTCCACTCCCTCCGGCCAGGACACTACATCACGCCACGATTGAGGGGGAGTGTCGATACAAGGGCAACTGCGGCGTCTTGTGTGGATGCCTCAGGCATCACAATGTAACCTGAGGCATCCACTGGAGCCTGAGGCGTGGATCACGTGATGATGCCTCAGGCAGGAAGACGGTGGGCTGGCTACCCGAGGTGTGAAGGTATATGGGAACTCATCCACGCAGTAATTGAAATCCACAAGTTACAGCCAACCCCCATGGAGGAGAATGGACTTATGGATATTGACGAACCCGATCTGACAACTCATCTGGATCAAGGTCCGCCTAGCACTACCGACAGCGAAAGCGACAACGAGGCTAGCGACTCGGGTGAGGGCCCTGCTGGGAAGCAGAGGACTCAGTCCATGGGCCAGGTTCAGAACCCCTCATGACCCCAGGTTTAGCAGTAAAGGCCTCATTCAACGTAAGGATGTCTGAGATTGAAAAAACAGTACTGACCTCCCAAGGAACTGCTCTATGGGTGGCTCTTAAGAAGAGCACCGCGAACCGACACGCTGCGATGAAAGCTCTATTGGACTACCTTAATGGAGTGGCAGAAAAAGGCTGCGTTAGGATCGTAACATCAGCGTCATCTTTCATAGCAATTATCTACGACACTACCACCAACCGCGACAAGGACCTTAAGAGAATCGAGAAGTGCGTGTTCAAATATCATTTGAAAAATGGGTGAAACCAATTTTCGTTCCTACAACAAACAGTATTCCATTGGAAGGCTGCTGGTTCTACTCCGGCACCCCGAGTTTCGAGACTTGGTGATGTACTTTACAACGACCAGATATGGTCATGTTGGAATAAGATACCACTATGATTATGGATATGAGGCCCTAGACTGACGAGTACATCGTCCGGACACATTTTTAGCCTAGTGGTATTATATTTCTATATCAGACTACCCTTCAACATTTGGGGGGAAAAAATTACATTGAGATTATGAAGATGGATAAAATTTTGTTCAACTCTTCGACAGAGTACCACCAAAGGAATTCATATCATCATAAACAGGCCAGTTGTTCCCATCTACTCCCAAACGCCATTAATGCTTATCGTGTAGTCAAATCAAATCATGGCAAAACATCCTTGAGGATATCCTTCTGCGAGGCCGTCAGAGTGGCCGGGAACTTGACGTTCACCCGGACGATGAGATCGCCCCGCTCGCTCGGTTTCTTTGATATCGTCATGCCCAGGCCCGGGAACTTCTCTTCGTGGCCGGGTTGTGTGGGACCGGGCTTGGAGACACGGATGGATTTGCCGTCGATGGTGCGCACGATGCGTTCCCAGCCTGTCAGGGCATCCTTGAGAGAGAGATCGACGGTTGTGATGAGGTTGTCGCCCTGGCGTTTGAAGTTGGGGTGTGGTTTCTATCCGCAGCCGTTAGCATTATCCGGACTTTTTGGATGTGGGCTTGCAAGGACTTACCTCTGTCACAATGAGATGGACATCCTGGCGTCCACCCTCTTCCTGGTCCCCGACACCGCGGTACTTGATCTTCGAGCCCGTCCGCAGACCGGGCTTGATATTGGCCTCCAGCGTCACGTCCTGGACGGTCCGCTTCCCGCTCGCATCGAACGTCTTGCTCTTCACCGTCACCTTCTTCGTCGTCCCCTTGAAAATCTCCTCTAACGTCAGCGGTAGCTCCTTCTCCACGACCGTCGGCTCGGGCGTTGGCGCCCGGTGCGCCTGCTGGAATCCTCCCGCTCCCGCACCGCCCGCACCGGCACCAGCACCACCAGCGCCGCGGCTCGCCCTGAACCCACGACCACCACCTAGCCCCCCGCTGAGGATATTGAACAGATCATCATCTTCCATTCCACCGCCCATTCCACCGCCACTCGCCTTCGCAAAGTTCCGGAAAATATCATCCGCCGAGCTGAAGCGGAACCCGCCGCCGCCGCCAGGACCAGTCGAGAAATGGAATGTGCGGGTTCCCCCGCCGCCGGGCATCCCGCCAAAGGCGAACCCGCCAGGCATGCCGCCCTCGAAGCCTTCGAATCCGCCTGCGCCGGGGGCACCGCCGGGGCCGGGGCCTGTGTCTTATCCACATCTGACGCTGC